CATGTGCAGAGAATGTGTGAGGAGCATCCATGTGAGCCCTTACCTGCACTCTAAAGTGGTACCGTCCTGATGCAGGTTTATCCCCTCAGTGACAACTTGGCTTAGGACTAGTAGTGTGACTCATTTTTATCTGTCACTTTTATCTTCCTTTAAAGAGTGCAGAGCAGCGTACATAAGTAATATATATATATATATATATATATATATATATATATATATATATGTGTGTGTGTGTGTGTGTGTGTGTGTGTGTGTGTGTCAGTCTTAGAGAGAGCTTCTCCAGTACAGAATAGGTTTGCCAAGGTCAAGTCCTATCCTAATACACACACTTATCCATGAGTGACACCCCTGAAGTTGAGGAGGCTTACTACTACTACTACTACTACTACTACTACTAATAATAATAATAATAATTTATTATTTATACCCTGCCCTTCTGGCTAGGTTTCCCCAGCCACTCTGGGTGGCTTCCAACAAAACACTAAAGTACAATAACCTATTAAACATTAAAAGCTTCCCTAAACAGGGCTGCCTTCAGATGTTTTCTAAAAAATTGGTAGTTGTTTTTCCTCTTTCTGAGTAGGCATGGAGAGGATTACACTGCCCAAATCAGTTTCAAGCACACAAGTGAGTGAGGTCAAATAGTCCAAAATTATTTTGAAAAGTTTATATGGCATTTAATTACCCAACTCTCTTGCACCTGATGATGTGCTAGCTGCTGTATTCCATTGTTAGCTTCCCAAGCTCCTGCATTTGCCTGCCTTTCTCTGAGCCCTCTCTCTAATCTCAAACATTTTTCTCCTCTGCAAAAAACCATGAGAATGAGACACACTGGAAACAAACTCACAGGCGAACTTGGTTCCCTGGCATTGAAACACATGTGATTAGAATTTTGCCTGCTAGGCCTCAATCTGTACATGTTTGTCTACTTTAAAATGTTGAAGAAACCCATGCCCCACCTGTAGTCTATGTGATTTTACTGAGAAAGGACATGGAATGAAGAGACCTGAAAACAGAATAAGCCTGTGTGGGACCTCTGAATAATAATTCTAGTCTGGCCCCATCACTTTGTAAAATTGAATTGTTAGCACTGAGAGTCACAGCTATATAGCTGAGGCAAAGAAAGGCCCTTATAAATATTGGACTATAAACATTGTTTCCCCAAGAGGAAAAAAGTCAGTGGGGAAATTAATCAGGAATTAGAGTAACTATGCATACAGAATATGAGCAGTGTCTGAGTCAAACAGGAGTGAGTACTTGAGACAGAATTCCTTTTTTGGAAGCTAGACAGTCACACTGTTTCATTAACATTATATTGGCAGTAAGTAATGCAGTCACACAAGAAATACCACTGTTGTGAATGCAAGGAAGCACTAGTTTCCACCATGAATTGATTAAAACCTGAAGCTTTCTGCTTCGACTTCAAGTTTTTAAAGAAACACTAATAGATTATTGGAACAAAATCCAGTAGGCAGAAATGACATTCTTTTCTCCTGCCCTACTGAACTTCCTCAGGAAGACTGGAGTCCCAGAATGTGTAAAGAAGGATTTTTTCCTGTTTAGACAAAAGCATGTGTTGTGATTTAATTAAACAGCAGATTCACACATTTTTCAGTGGTGAAATAGGATGTCTTCAATTCCACATGAAGACTGGATAAATATGTGTGCTGCTGCTTCATATACATGATGACAGTGCACACGCTTGCAGCAAAATGCTATACTTCACATGCAGACATGTTTGTGGTCACAGGACACATTGGAAGGCATTTAATGGCAGGTCTGAGCTTCAGCAGTGCCAGCCCAGGTGGGAGACCACCTGGGACCCCAACTCTTGAGTTCTGTGGAAGAAAGGCTGGATATAAACATAATTGATAAATGCAGTCATGTTCTTAAAAAGCAATGTTTTTGCATCTAAACAGAGCACTATATACAGCAGGGCAGGATAATCCTTTACTATATGATTCATTTCAATACAAACAGCATTAGAACCATGATTTAAACATGCTGTGATTTCAGAGATGCTACATGTCTACACAAATTGTGATCCACCAGTTTAAACACAGGCTGCCAACTATATCAGGTATTGACACCTCCCAACTCCCCTTTTTATAGTCCATGCAGTTTGCATACACTCCATTTCTTTTTTAATCCAATCAGTCTTGCTAAAGGATGTCCAGCTTAAAGATAAAGAGCCATAGAAAGGGGAGCAAGAGTTTTGAAGATGCCTATAAACAGGCAGCACACAGTCACAATCTTCTCCAATATGGTGAGATATATTGTGTGGTGTTCCTAATCCATAAACAGAACAAGGAGTGAGGTAATTTCAGTTATTCTCCCTCCCCACCCCACCACCTGCTGCCAAATCTGCAGTAGAAAGTTGGAGGATCTTCTAGAACAGATTTGGGGGTAGAAGAGAGGAGAGGCAATTGGAAAAGTGCCTCCTTCCCCATTCTGCTCATGGACACATCCAATCACATAGCGCTTGCTGTCTCTCTACTACAATCATACCGATCCCCACCCCCCATGAGCACATATAATTCTTATGCAATTCTTTCCTTTTGTTGTGGTTCATTTCTTCTTTTTTAAAGCCGCACATAAAGTAAATAGTAGAAAGTAGCCGCCAACTACTAAAAGCCCCCAAATTTAGCTCTTTTAGATCTAAAACCAACAAATATGCTCCCCTGGAGCTCAAATTAGGTTTCTGAAATAAAAAAGGTAAAGGACCCCTGACAGTTAAGTCCAATCTCAGACAACTATGAGGTTGTAGCGCTCATCTCGCTTTACAGGCCGAGGGAGCCGGCGTTTGTTTGCAGACAGTTTTTCCGGGTCATGTGGCCAGCATGACTGAGCCGCTTCTGGCAGCACACGGAAACATCGTTTACCTTCCCGCCGGAGCGGTACCTATTTATCTACTTGCATTTTTGGTGTGCTTTCGAACAGCTAGGTTGACAGGAGCTGGGACCGAGCAAAAGGAGCTCACACCGTTGGCAAGCCCTAGGCTCAGTGGTTTAGACCACAGCGTCACCCGTCCCTTTCTGAAATACAGTGGTACCTCGGGTTAAGAACTTAATTTGTTCTGGATGCCCGTTCTTAACCTGAAACTGTTCTTAACCTGAAGCACCACTTTAGCTAATGGGGCCTCCCATCTGTAACCTGAAGCGTCTGTAACCCGAGGTACCACTGTAAAGGAAGCCTGAAAAACTACAAATGACAGTGAAATCTAGCCCTGAGAAGCATGTTGGGATAAGCATGTGCTCAACACAGCCTTGTACTCAATTCCAGACCTGTAGAACAGGTCCAACATACATAAGGCCCTCTGGGTAAGCCTCTCAGTGTCCTAGAGTCCTCTCCTCCTTCTCAAATCCTAGTTCGTGCTTTCCCAGTTTTGGGATGAAGCTGGGAGGGCTGTAGGACCCTTCCAGAGCCTTGCACCTCTTTCCCAAAGCCTGATACATCACTTATATGGCTTTGGAAAAGCAGCATGAGGGAGAGGGCTTTAAGTTTTGTTCTCGCTCCCCTCCTCTGCTGGACAAGGCAGTGTGTGGCCCACAGGTTCTGTGTTGAAATACTTTAGTGGCCCACTTGATATGAAAAGTTGGGCCACCCTGTTGTGGAAGCTTCTGGTACCGCCATTTTGTACCTGGTTGGTAGAGCTCCAGGTTCTAGCAAAAATCAAAATGGTTCTTTCTGCCAAGGTTGAAGTTGACCCACCCCATCAGACAATGATAAACACTAGTTTTATAAAAATGCTGCACTTGATGAGGCAGGAAAACTGTTTATTCAGTTACTAATACACCCTGGGTCAACAACTAGATTTGTGAATGGAACACCAGCATGGGCAAGGATGGTGAATCAGGCTTCACCTGCAACCCACAAAATGGACTTTCTACACACAATTATTCTTCATCTAAATTGAAAAAAGAATGTGGAAGAAACAAGGGGTGGGGTGGGCAGGGCAGTTGTACTCAGTGGGCCTGGATTTAGCCTTAGGAATTTAAGCCTGTTTACCATTCGGTGGAACAATAGCAAGTCTTGCTTGGCTCCAAAACATGGTCTGAATGTACATGGTGAAACAGTCTTGCTGAAACTAAGTAGGTCCATACCTGGGCAGAGCCTTGATGGAAACTTGAGTTCCATGGATAGGTGTGGCACAAAATCATGACTAAAACATGTATTGTGTCTAGCTGGTTGTATTTTTAACAAATCATGTTGTGCACCAAGCCAGTTCCTTTGGAAAGATAGTATACAAACACAGTTAATATTAACTACTACCAAATGTCTTTATAATTGTGACACCCCAGGTTTCATAATCCAGGAAATATTGTTCAACAGCAGCCATAAATATTTGTCTCCCAGTGCCATGGCGACATAATAAGATTCATTTCTACATCTGTTAACATAGCAATCATCATATTTTTCCTTGGTGCAAGGTGTGAGAGAGGTCCAAGATGGGGATGCAGCAAGAATAATAGCAGCTGACCTCCGCTAAAGTCAATGCCTCCCTAAACCACTGTTTTATTTTGATGCTCTTTATTTCCCCTGTCTGATTGAATAGAGGAAGAAGGCATCTGGTGCTTTCTTCCCGCTGTAAAATTCCTCATTCCCCATATACAGATTTGACTTCATATCTGGAAAAGCAGTTCAAAGAAGAAAGTAGTAGTAATTAAAATCTCAGTATTGAACTAAATCCCAGACAATGCTTAACCTGTTAAAAGCAGATCAGTCTTTAAATTTGCCAACAATGATGGTGACAAGAGAAGCACTTGAAATATTAACGTAAGGTTGTGTGGAAATTTCTGAAAGCTTCAGATTTTAGTGAGTGTGTTGTGTTGACATCAGTCTGTCTCAGAAGACAATGGAGGAGTGAGCCTTTGGCGGTGAAGTCAAAACTATTGGAAGGTTACAGCCCCTGTTGTGGCTGCAAGACACCGATACAGGAGAGACATGTTTAGTTGCGGCAGTGGCAGCGATAGATGGTATTGAGAAATGGCACAACAATGTAGTTTTGAAATACAGAAGCTTGGAAATTTATTTATAAGAAAAACAGTTTTAAGTGGTAGGCAAGATTAGTATTAAACTTCTACAAACAGTCACCACCTCCAATCAGAATTTGCTACATGGCTGTTCATATGCTAATTAACAGACACATCTCAGTTGATAAGTCACTAAATGCCTGCTTCCCATTCACACAACTCTTCATTTTTGAAGTTTATGGCACAGTAATTTCTATGAAAAACTTCTCCTTCCACTGCATTAAAAAGATTCCAATCATATTTTACACTTATGACATCATTATCTTAATGAAAAACCTGTACATGAAAAAAGCTACTTTAGTTAAACTTTTGGTCATTAAAGTGCTGCTAGACCATTTAGTGTGTTAAGTTATAAATATATTTAAGTTAAAAATGCTTAAGTATCAGCTGCAGAACCAGCAATAAAAGGCTCTTATGCTGGTTTTAGTTAGCGCTTTCCATTTGTAAGCCGATCTTCTTCATAGTCACCCATTAACTGTAGCACATATGTTCCAGTGTAAAGAAGGACATGTCCCGTAACTTGTGCCATATGTGACAGATATCGAAGTATCCTCCTTAAATAAAGAAACACATTAAGCTTAGACAGAAGTTCAAAAAAAAATGCACAAAAGGAGAAAACACATCATCACTTTTGTCCATACACCAGCACATGCTCTGCACTTTTTCTGAAGTTGCACTTTTCCTGAAAGAGCAAATTGAGTTTAAGGATTCTCCTGGATCCAGCTTTGTTGCTTGAAGACCAACTGGTAGCACAGAATACTTCTGGACAGGGATAGCCTAGCCAGTTAGCCAAATGGAAGGTTATCAGAGCATGGCTGATGGCAGTGACATTATACTTGGAGATGCTTTTGAAGATGGTTTAGAAGCTTCAATTAGTGCAGAATATCTGGCAGCATTCACTTCCAAGTCCAATTCAAAGAGCTGGATGCTTACTTTTAAAGCTGCAAATGCTTTGGGCCTAGCTACCTGGAGAAAACAGACTCCCATGTCAACCTGCCCGCATTCCAAGATCTGTTGATATCCTACACCATCAGGTGGTCAGCAAAAAAGAGACTTTTCAACTGGAGCATCCCAGTTATGGAATGCCCAATCTCACCTGACACCAACATTGTTATTTTAGCTGCCGGTAACAATCTTTAATTATCCAGGTATTTTAAAGATTGTTAGCAATTTGGGACTACAATTCCCATCATCCCTAGCTAACAGGACCAGTGGTCAAGGGTGATGGGAATTGTAGTCCCAAACATCTGGAGGGCCAGAGTTTGCCTATGCCTGCTCTAGCCATTTTATATGAAACTTCTATGCCAATTTATTATATTGCTTTCTTTTCATGCTATTGTGAAAGGTTCTGAAATTCCTATGTTCAAATACCCAGATGAAGTTCCTTTTGTTTTTTGCTGCCATTCTAAGTATATTTACTTTGCAATTAAGTCTAACCTGAAAGTCAGAAAGGCTCATACATTCCTACAGGGGACTGCTAGAATTAATTATAATATATATTCGCTTGCTTCCTCATGCTGCAGCAATTAAAATATACTGGATCAGATCAGTAGCCTACCTTAACAGACCGAAAGCTGTTGTTTCTGGATATTATCCCACTATCACCACCTTAATAACTTCTAGAAACATGTCAGTGCTTGCTATATTTGCAGGAGTCCTTCTGCATTTGTAACTCCCACATTTTTATAGGGAATTCCTTATCATTGCACTCCAGTTTTTGTTTCAGAAATGTTAGGCACTACCACCACCTAGTGTTTCAGAGAGTCTGAGACATCAAGAACCTTCAGGTCATTTCATAAGCTTGCCAGTTCCTTGAACATTCAACTTGCTCATGCCTTTATTTAGCAGGTCACCATGTATCTAGGGAATCAGGTGTAGCTTGCTTAGCCTCCATGGCACAACACATTAAGATATCTGAACAGACAGCAGAGTTATCAATATTTTTTTTCTCTATTTGAATTTATTTTTAAGAAGACTGACATTACAGAAACAGCAGCTCTGGCATTTCAGCTCCTCTTTGAAATTTCACTTCCAGCATTTCCTTTTTATAGTCTTTATCAGTGCAGCATTTGTACTGGGTACTTTAAGGATCTGAACTTGGACCAGTGATTCTTATCTTGTTCATAAGTGGACGGTCGTAGAGACTGAGCAGTTAGGTGGCAAATTTTGCCAGCAAGCTATTCATGGTAGGGCAGACAAATATCAAATCCCAAAACAGGTGTATGGATGTTAAAGTGTCAAATGTGGTTCAAAGTGTAAAGTGATGCAAACTGGGACAACTCTCCCTCCACACAACTTCTTGTAATGTAACTCACTGCCATGTTTCCCTTTACTTGTGCTCTCTGCCTACCCTGGAACCCAGGTGCTTTGTTTAAGATGTGGGAAAGGCGGCTTTATTTTGTCAATGAATGGGGACAACAGCCATTGCTTTTTTATCCCAGAATCCTAGGTATGTAGCTTGATAAACAGTGGCACCTGGGAGGGAATCGCACACATACAATCTCCACCTTACATTCAAATATTCATGATGGTCTCATTACTACAACACTGACCCCAACTTTTGTTGATTTTCCCTCACCCTAACAGTCACTGCTTTGTTTAACACTTTGTCCAATGAAGGATTCCAGAGGCTTGAAAGCTTGCCTCATGTCAGACTTTTGGGTTGATCTTAATAAGGGAGTTATTCAGTTGTGGACTTTTGGGTGTAATTTCACCTATGCATGGTTGAGTCTGAACTAGAGGCACACACTTACCTCAGTACAGCCTTTGCTCCCATGCATTGGATATCATATGTCACAGAATAGATTTCATAAAAGGTAGCTTTGATATTTAGGCAGCCAATGAAGTCCTTAGGGTTCACTTTGTACAAATCCAAGGTGATATTTGCCACCCCCATTTTCTTTGGCTGCTGTACTGCTGCAAAGCAGGGTCTTGGCCCCTAATTCAGAGGAAAGAAAAACAAGTGTATGAAATATTTCAGCTCACAACACCTATATACACCCAAGAGCCCTGTAGGATTTTTTTCCGACTAATTAACTTACTGAGAACAGAAATTAATCAATAGCTTTTGAACTATGGTTTAACCACCAAAATGGGTTTTGAATCAAGCTCTTGAGTCCCTTGGAAGTTTACAATTACTGGAATACGGTAAAGCTTGTTTGAAAAATTTGAGAACAGTTTGGAAAATATTTTTTTCACCACCACCTTAGAGGCTTAGAGAGACACTGGAGAATAATCTCAGTATCCAGATTTAACACAAGTGATATAATGTCAGATATAACATTTATTGTTTCGGGATTTCTACTGAACTGGGGGACTAGCAAATCAGAGAAACAAGGTTCAGGAAATATCATTCTCTATCTCACTAGTCATCCATGGAGGTAGTGTTGCCTTTGTCCTGCATTTTATACCCTCCAGCTACCTAACCTCTGTAAAGTGTTCAGTTATTAAATTTATGGTTTTACTTCTTGGGGTGGGGTGGGGGAATAAAGAATATATGTAGAAAAAATGTAACTCTAACAGCTAATTGGCATGACTATTTACTCTCATGGAGAAACACTGTTTTGTCCTGTAACTGCCACCCTCTGTTCTGGATGCTTACTTCCAAGTAAATACACATTCAGAGTGACAGTTCTACTTTGTTCAACAGGATGTGTTCCCAAAGAAGCATACCTAGTTTCATTACAATAGGCTTCACGGGTGTGACCTATCTATTAATGCTTACAACAGTACGGAGATGGAAACAATTCTGTCTTTTGTAACTAAGCAGACACAATACCAGGAACTGAATTCAAGCTGGCAATTAAAAGGTAGAAGAAATCTGTTCCCGATTCTTCCTTTGCGTCAACAAGTTGGCACTTTCGGAATCTGGTGCCCGAATCTGCATTGCTCCCGTGGGACCTGGAGTCTCCCATGCCTGAGGTCACACACGACATTAGGCACGGGAAAGAGAGGGGTAGTCTGCCCAAAACTTCCTGGTGGGCTGATCTCCAAGGTTTGGTGGGTGTAATTAGGCCTGTAATTAGAAAGACTGAAGAAGTTTTGTTTAAACTCAAAGCAAACAGGGCATATCAAGTTTATTATTTTCTGTAATAAACTATTTTCAGAACAACACTTACTGGCTTCCATTTCTGTCCTCTCTCTAGAACCATGAAATGTGTGTTGTCTCCCAGGGATTGGAAGAAGTCTTCTGTTTCCACCACTGTGCCATCTTCCTCCAGAACTAGTGTTATCAGCCCAGCAGTAATCATTAAGGTATCTAAGGTCTAAAATACAGACAGAAGAGCAAAACGTAGTTCCAAATGCCATATTGGTTTAGGGCAATCCTAGTTTACTTACCCCCTACTGAAGCAAGACACATCACAGGTGTGAATGTCTATTATTCAGAAACTGTACCATTAAGTTATTTGCATGCTCCATTCTGCATAGATTTAAGCTATCATAGATTGAGCTAACATGAGCCCAACTACTTTTGAGAAAATTATGGAAGAGAACCAGATCTGTGTGTGTAGCCCCAATTTATGAAGCCTTGTGTTCACATGGTGTTCAAGCCTCCTCCAAAATGTGCTTATTTTTATCACTGGAAAGTCAACGCTTAGGACCAAACTAGGCTTTGAATTCATTACCATATTTTTCGCTCCATAGGATCGCCTCCAAAAATGAAGGGAAATGTGTGTGCGTCCTATGGAGTGCGAATGTAGGTTCGCTGAAAGTTTGAGCGAGAGGCGCCGTGCGCACCGACACCTCTCGCCTTCAGGCTCCAGGAAAGCATCTGCAAGCCTTGCGCACCCGGGAAGCCCCTGGGCACTCAAGGCCATGGCAGCAGCTCGTAGCCGGAGCACGGGGCGCCTCCGGAGGATGCCCCGTGCTGTGCCCGCAGTCTTGCGCGCCCAGGGGAGATCCCCGGGCGCGCCCGGCCTATGGCGAGCCTGCAGCTGCTGAGCACAGGGCGCCCCGAGGACGCCCCGTGCTTCGCGCAGGAATGCAGCTTGCGCACCCGGGGATCTCCCCGGGAGCGCAAGGCTTGCGGGCGGCTCAGCGCTGGAGCACGGGGCGCCCTCGGAGGACGTCCCAGGCTACAGAGAACCGCAGCCTTGCGCACCCGGGATCTCCCGAGCGCAAGGCTCTGCGGCGGCATCTGCAGCGCGGAGCAAGGGGCGCCTCCGGACGCCCCGTGCTTCGCGCAGGTGTCAAGCCCGCGCCCGGGGATCTCCCCGAGCCTGGCGCTATGGCGGCAGCCTGTAGCTGCTGAGCACGGGGCGCCCGGAGGACGCCCGTGCTTCGTGCAGGTGTCTGCTCTGCGCCCGGGGGGAGATCCTGGCGCGCACGGCTTGCGGGCTGCAGTCATGCGGAGCACGGGGCGCCTCCGGGAGGACGCCCGTGCTTCGTAGGTGTCTGTGAAGCCGCGCCCGGGAGATCCCCTGGGCGCCGCACGCTCTGCGGGCGGCAGCCTGTAGCGCGGGAGCACGGGGCGCCCTCCTAGGAGGACGCCCCGTGCTTCGTGCAGGGGTGTCTCAGAAGCCTTGCGCGCCCGGGGAGATCCCCCTGGGCGCGCACGGCTTGCGAGCGGCAGCCTGCATGCTGAGCACGGGGCGCCTCGGAGGACGCCCGTGCCGTGCAGGCCCGTAGCCTGCGCCCGGGGATCTCAATAGAGCGCACGGCTTGCGGGCGGCAGCTCGCGCGGAGCACGGCGCCTCGGGAGGACGCCCGTGCTTCGTGTAGGTGTCTGCAGCCTTGCGCGCCCGGGAGATCCCCTGGGCGCGCACGGCTTGCGGGTGGCAGCTCGGTAGCGCGGAGCACGGGGCGCCCGGAGGACGCCCCGTGCTTCGCAGGTGTTCCCCAGGTTGCCGCCCGGCGCGTGGGGCGCCCTGGAAGCAGAGCGCCCTCACGCCGGGCAGACATGGCCAGCCCCACGTCGGGGGACAACGGGAGGCGCAGCGCCACGATCCCACTGTTCCCTGATTTGATTGGGGAAATAAAGGAAACATTTTTCCTTTATTTCCAAAAAGTGAAAAGCGCCCTATGGGACGGAAAGGCCTATGGAAACGAAAATACGGTATATGAATGCAACAGAAAACACACACACACACACACACACACACGCAGCAGTGCTGGCTTTGTGTGTGCATGCATGCAAGCAAGAGACCTTGCAATTTTCAATCAGGAGGAAAGCCCCCATCAGTGACAATGGAGGCCTTCTTTCCAAAACAAATTACTTCGAGAGATTTGGTGGTTGTGGAGAGTTAAATTCCTCCCTGTGGCTGCTATTTACATTCTTTAAAAGTGAATATTGATCACATTCACAATGATGCATCTAGTTTAGCCAGACAGATTAGAACTCAAATCGAAAATAGATTTTAAAGAAATTCTGCTGCCAAGAGAGGGCATTATTAGTGTGACTTGCAGAAGCAGTCTAGATTCCTACAGCTACAAAGCAAGTTGCCCTTTATCATCCAAATCACCTTAACTGCTTTACATTCCGATTCCATTCCCACTCCCATCCTCTTTCTACAGTACTGTACACAGGATTCTGAGATGGTCTTCCATCCATGCAGCATTCCAGTGCTGGTACAGTCAAACCTCGGTTCCTGAACTGCTCCTTTTTTTAACGCTTCAGATCCCAAACGCCAAAAACCCAGAAGTAAATGCTCCAGTTTTTGAATGTTTTTTGGAAGCCGAATGTCCGACACAGCTTCCGCTTGAGTGCAGGAAGCTCTTGCAACCAACTGGAAGCCACGCCTCAGTTTGTTTCAGAAGCCAAATGGGCTTCCAGAATGGATTACATTTGACAACCGAGGTTTGACTGTATGAGGTAGCAATTGGTGCTGTGACTGGTTGCAGGCAGTCTCCTAATCTAGTCTAAGTAGGACAGCTGCAACCCACTCTACACCTCTGCATTCTACAAATGGTTAATGGTGGTTTGTGGGGACAATTCCCACAATTCTGCTCTACTTGTTCAGTTAAGAGATGTATTTTCCATATAAACTTTATCACAATTTTTGAATCCACAAAAAGTAAAAAAGGGAAAGGAGGACATAGGTTAGGGACATGATATTTCAGTGTTGTTTAATACAAGTATACTGCACTGCCAACTTAAGTTGCGCAAGGAAAGCTGGCCAAATTTTTACAAATTTCTCTTCTTGGTGCTCATGGCAATATAAATCGCCTCCTGAGATAAGGACAGGGATTTCAAACCGCTGGTCACTGTTGCATGGAAGGCATGCACATGTAACCTGCGCTCATGGTCCAGTGGTAAAGTACAAATAGGCATCTTTGAAACACAGTGATTAATTACATTACAAAGGCCTCACCCCAAAGGGGGCTTACAACAGGGCAGCTCCACATCATGTGCGGAGACAGCCAGCATGGTGTCGTGGTCAGAATGCTGAACATGGACCTGGGAAACCTGGGTGAAACTCCCCAGTCAGCTATGAAGCTCACTGGGTGACCATCAGACCAATTCACTGCGGATAAAGGACCTGATTGCTGTCCTGCTTCTCCTAACACTTAGGGACTGAGATAACTTGTAGAGGAGCCTTGGGGATATGCAATAAGGTGTTGGATTTTTGTTGGATGAGATGTATCTTCAGGTTCAATGGAGAACTTTTCTCTAGACTAGAGTGCTATGGATCACTGGCTAAGTTAATTGGAATCGAAAAGGTATCTTGAGCATCTAATACAGCTATGACTGGAGCTAAGGCAAACAGGTAGGACCAGACTTCTCCAAGAAGTTAACATCCCTGCTAGATCTAGGACTTCACAGTAGCCTTCACCCACCTGCTTCCTTTTATGTCCTGGCTGGGGCTGATGGAGGTTGTAGTGTACACACATCACCTGTGTGTATGTAGGGCAAGAATTTTTGAACACATGTCTGAGATAATGAGGTCCTGGCATGATCATCAGGCTTGTGCTTTTGACAGGAGGCATACCTTGCTAATAAGCTCCTCTAGGGTGCTTGCAACAACTCCTCTCCGACTGCTTCTGTCATGGTTACAAACACGGAAGGGCCGAGCTGCAGCTGGAAGAGGTGCAAACAGGGTCTGTCTTGTTACTGACCCTAGAGATGCTCCCACTGACACCAGAGATCTAGAACAGAAAGCAGTTTGGGGTTTTTTGTTTTGTTTAATGCACATTGTATGGTTTCAGTTTTAAGAGCAAGGAAATCATTTTTAGTACACAGTAGCACAATGGGTATAATTCAAGTCAGCCTACAGCCTAGATGCAGACCATTTCATGCACTGCTAAATATATACCTTCTTCCAGGCTAGAAAGAGAGATATGAAGCACTTGAGGGAAGGGGCATTTTGACCCAACAGTGATTGTTTTGATCTGTGGATGTAACTATGAGCTATACAGTGTCATCCCCACAGCGTCCAGTAAAACCCATTTGACTATCTTTGCAGCTGATCAGAATAGTGTGTGTTTGCCAGCTGGGCCCCTAAACATGGTCTAGTTTACCATTTCCAATATTAGCATTGCATCTTTAGAAGACAGACTAGTAACTGGAGTCTTTGCTAGAATATATAATAGGGCCCATCTGCTGTAAGGAGCAAATAAATGATTGTTAGTGCCTAAATTCACTTCTTGCATGTATCTCATGATAAGCATATTAATTCCTGCTTCCTGTTCCAGTTATTGATGTGTAAGAGGACCCATCCTCTTAACTGAGGAATGTTATATTCACACTTGACTATCAAAAAACATTTGACAATGTTTACCAGACCACCTCTAAAACACTTGGGCTAAACAATTCCATAAACTATAATTACAAAGGTTAAGCAGCTGTGGCTAAAAATACAACACACTACTGATAATTTTAGCTTGTTATTAATGGAAACAGTAGAAACTCAGCACAACATTTAAAAACCTGATTAGAATGGAAATGTTTTCAGAGCCCAGTTAAAGATAAAGGATCCGGTCCACAGTTTCCTCAGGAAGAATTATCAAAGGTGTGAGGCCACCACTGAGAAGGTCCTGTGTCTACTGTCTGCCATTTTAATTATCTTGGGTTCCCAAAATAAATTTTGTTGATAATCTTTTTTATTAATTTTCAATTACAATCCAATAATTGCTTCATTATAGCAATACCAAATTATAATACAATGACTAATACCAATTACTCAAATTGGTGTTTCTTCCTGTCCTTATAAAATGTTACGTCTATCTTTTCCCGGTTGTTGATGTTCTCCATCATGCCTTGGGCGTAGCTGATATCCCATTGTTTCAGAAATTTCTCCATTGCTCCGTTGTTTTGCAACTTTAATAACAGATGCAAAAAATCACTCTGTCCCAATAAATAACCTGTTTTCACCATTTTTCCTCTCTGCCTAAGAAGAAGAGTGATCTGTCAAACTGCAGATGACTCAGTAATGTACCTTATCAGTTCCTTGGCAAGTTTGCAGACTTCTTTCATCCTTCCTTCCCAAGATAAATTTTAAGGCCTTTGCCAGGCTTGCATGCGCATAGGCAATCCTTCAAATCACCTAGACCCAAAGGTTTAGAGCTTTGAAGGTCTACGCCAGTACTCCTTGGGCCCAGAAACATATTGGCTGCTAATATGTACAATGCAGGTTTGCCCAAACACCTAACCCTCATCAGACATCCTGACATTCTGTACCAGTTCCAAGCCATTTTTCAAGATTGCCCAACAAAGTATATGTTAAATACAGTGGTACCTCGGGTTACATACGCTTCAGGTTACATATGCTTCAGGTTACAGACTCTGCTAACCCAGAAATAGTACCTCAGGTTAAGAACTTTGCTTCAGGATGAGAACAGAAATCGTGCTCCGGCGGCAGCAGGAGGCCCCAATAGCTAAAGTGGTGCTTCAGGTTAAGAACAGTTTCAGGTTAAGAACGGACCTCCGGAATGAATTAAGTACTTAACCCAAGGTACCACTGTAGTCTAGTTTGATTTTAACCAGCACATGTGTGACTGAGACAAAATATGCTTCCTAAAGAAAGGGTCATAGCTGACAGCATAAGCTGATAAAAGGCACTCCTAGCCACGAACATCACCTGTGCTTCCATAGTTGCACTCAATCCAAGAGGACCCCCTGCAAAAACACTGCAGCCGACAATTAGGATGGCAGTGGCTAGTCCTTTATACTGTTCAGCCATAGCACTTTCTACAGGCTGTCTATAAAAGTCTCACTTCAGATTTATAAGCATTTAGCCAGTCACCTTGATTGCCAATGGATACTTTTGCAGGATCTTACTTCATCTCACTGTATACCTATATCCAAGCACTTTGCTTAGGCAACCTGAAACAAGGTTAATTACAATTGAAAGATCCATATTGGATGATAGGTTAGGACACAAACCTTTAAATTAGGTTATTTGTGACTCAACCACTGTCCCAGCACAGCATTAGGAGTGTCTCCTTAAAGCCATGATTGCCCTATATTTAATTCTGTAATCTGGTTACAGCAGATCAATTTTTAAGGTTGCCTAATGCTTTTATATTTAAAAAAGTCAGAGCCATGCCCTCACTTAAGCAACAGCACTGTGTTGTTGGATATGCAGCCTACTCATATAAAGCTTACTTAGAAACAATCCCAACTTGGTTAAATCAGGTCAAAGATTGCAGTCCTATAAAACAATACTCTGCCAAGAATCCATGTTAGTCTGCAGTTGCCAACAGACATGTCATAAGTTTTGCTTAGGCAGACCTTTCCCTTGAGACAGTTATATTTCTGCTCTGTGTTCAGAAGAGTTTCACATTTATAGAGCACAACTCCAATAACTTGGCTATTTATCCAAGGCTTGCACAAGGGTCACTGTGGCTCAAGCTATACGTGGTATCTAGATTTAAGTTATTCTTGGAACCGATTCCTGTGACATTTGTCTCCAGAAAGACTCTCTTTCCCCACTGACAGGTCTTAAGTAAAAAGTAATTTTACGAACACATTAAAGGATTAACTGTGGCAAGAGCTCTCCGTGGAGAAAAGCTAAACAGATGTCACCACCACAGATTAAAGCCCATATGGCACCCCAACCCAACTTGTAACTTGCATTTTACAAGCAAAGGTACAGCACAGAAGAATTCACTTCTGCTGACTTTGCTTGCAACACACGTCTTTATTTCTTTCTCCTTTTGAGAAATGAAAAAGAAAGCAGCACAGATCACTGGCATCATCTCGTGAAGACTGGGGGGGGCACACAATGTAACGCGGACAATGTGCAATGTCACACACACTATGTGCAGGCGTGTGCATGTGATGCCACATGCACAATGTGCAATGTTGTATTGTGTTTTTGGAGAAGGAGCCGGAGCAGAGTCAGATGCAGTGGTCAATGGCTGGCAGCAGCTCCTCCTTCTCCTCTCTCATGGACCAGGAGGAAAAGCCAGAGGCAGAGCAGGGTCTGGCGGCGCCCACTGACTTGGGGTGTGTGACTCCCTCAAATATATTATTGTGGGGGCCAAAGCCCCCACGGACGCCTGGGGTTGGCACCAGTGACATAGGCAGTGCATCCACTCTTAAAGTGCTTGGCAAAAGTGCTCTTTGAATCAGCTTCCCTGCCTCCTTCAAAGGGCGCTTTGCCACTTTAAGACAACACTGTGTTAAAGCACTTGCCTCCTCTTTTAAACCTCCAACATTGGATTTAAAGACTTGCAAAGAAGACTTTGGGAAGATTTGCAAAGCTGTGCAAGGGATTTTGACAAGCAGGAACCATGTTGCGCCATAATGACATCATGCAACTGACATGCAAATGGTTAAATTTGACCTCTGAGGCTGATCTGGATAAGGATCTATCCCAATGAGCAAATAAGCTTCCCCAACACCTGCTTTACGAGATACCTGCTTCAATGACAATATACAAACCATCTGAAACACGCCAGGAATGCTGTAGAAATGCACAAGCTGGTTAACTCCCAAAATGTGTGGTGGGGCACACTAGCATGTGGTGCAGGAGAGCAGTTAGTGTGCTGTGAAAGTTACTTAAGAGGATGTGAAGTTGACCTGCAACATTCAACAGGTTCCAAGAGGCACTTCAGAGGGTGAAGCTTCTTTATCCAAAAGGTAGTTTATTTCAAGTGTACTAGTAGTCAGAGGCAAGAGACATTTCAAGGCAAAGAACCCTATCTAGATAAAAGAGAAGAGCGCTAGACTGACCTGTGGCTTAAAACTCAACAAGGTCATTGCCACCCCCATTGTATAACGCTGCTATAAACACCATACACGGGGCGAGGATGTCTTGGCCTGATGCATTTCCCCTGACTTTGTTTCCCCACTTCTCCTGAGGCTGTTATCTGCACATGCTCAAAGGATGTCTCAAATGTACACATCTCTGCTTAAACACGGTTTATGACTTCAAATCAAATGGAAGCTGTGGAAAATGCATCCAACAGGAGTAAAGGATGGACTGTGGCTCTAACATCATGCATGCTCGGCTTCAAGCATCCAGTCGTGGGAAGGAGAAAAAGGTGAAGGGCATCCACCTGTGGGAGCCTAACAAAAGGTATGACCTGAGTTTAGACCACAGACCCGGAGGCCCGTCTGTCTTTTCTTGCCGTGTAGCGAGTCACGTCGTTCTATGAGTAAAGGCCACCACGTCGGAAGCTGCTTCCACAAACCCCATAAGTTGGAGTCACACAGCTCCCCGCCCGCCGCCCGCTTGCTTTCAAGTTGTTTTAGCAAGCCTCCAGTCCATTCAACCGGTGGCGAGATGATTTTGGAAGGCGCGGCTACTTCCAAGCAACCAATTAAGATAGTCTTATTCTATAGATAGTCAGCGTGTGACCCACTGAGAGCCCGGGATCCTGCGACGCCGACCTCCTGCCCTGCCCCTCCAAGACACAAAGAAAACCCTCCTAGATTTAAAGAGGAGCGCCACCTAGTCCGCATTTGAGAGCCGGACAAAGAGGACGCGGCAGGTGGCGGAGCCAGATGGCAGCCGGAGACCAAGGGGTGCTGCTCGGGTCAGGAGTTCAGGAGACCGATCCTGCCCAGGGAGGAAAGCGGGCAAGCAAGCAACGGGGGCAAGCAAGCAGGCGCTGACAGCCCAGCTCCCCGAAAACGTAAAGGAAATGATAGATAGATAGATAGATAGATAGATAGATAGATAGATAGATAGATAGATATGCAACTGAATGTGCATATCGGGCAACAAGCGCCCAAGGAAGGTCGCCGCGGGACTTACTCCCGAGTAAACGTGCCTGGGTAGCAGGCGCCTGGGCGATCACTCACCGGAAAAAAACCGCGGCGAAATCGCGCGCGCACACCACCGCCATCCCTGCACCTTCGGCTTCCTTCGCAGCGAGCAACGCCGTCTGCGCCTCCTCCCGCCGCGGCCCTCTTATGCGCCCAGGGGCTCCAGGGAGGCGTCGCTCTTCGTAGCCCCGCCCCCGAGGGGCGGAGGCGCGCCGCTAAACCGCCCTTTCGGGAGGAAGGCAGTTTAGGCAAGGGCCTGTGCGCGTTGCTGGCGTGGCAGGAGGCTCAGGCGCCCAAGCGCGGGCGGGTTGCCTGGGTGTGTGCAGGGGGCGACAGGAACCTCCACCCTCCACCCCCGTGGTAACGTGCGACAATGAGGAGGAGGCTTTAGCACACCCTGCCCCAGATAGCCTGCAACTCCCGCGGAGTTGCTTCTGAATACACGTGCATAGGGTTGCGCGATAAGGCGGTACACAAGTGAACGCCCCACTAAATTCACTTCTTGATTAGTGAATACAGTACAGTATAAGATTGGAGCCAGAGAGAGATGAGACGTCTCTTAGCGAAAGAGTAGGGGCAGATGTCAACAGCCGAGGCCTAGATCAGCAGGCATCGGAACCAGCACTTAAGGGTCATTGTCCCTTTGCCCCCAGCAAAATATTTGAGGGGTCTGGACCGCCCAAAAGGTGATGGGCATTGCCATTCAAATAGTATGTCTTTTGATACAGGGCAGGGCTTACTTGTCCCCACCCACCCCCGTATTTTATTCAAGTGGGCACCCCTGCCAGCAGGATGCTGTTCTCGTGAATGTTGCCTGTTCTGCCCTAATGCTACCACATATGATTGGCTCCAGGAAATATTAGCAGTTCTGGGTGCCCCATAAATACAAAGATATTATGTACATGAGGAAACATCAGCATTGGTCATGTGTTACTCACCCGTAGGGCAATTGTGGGAGCTTTTAAAGGCTGTGCTCTTCCACCACTTTTGCACCCATTTCCCAGGAGAAGCAGGGTTTGTGTGTAAATAAAACTTATGTGTAAGATCCTGCACACGTATAGGGCTTCTGTGCTATTGGGACAACAGTATGTAGGTGTCCGAATTAGGCAGAGGCCCTTTGTGTTGGTACATGCTCACATGTCAAGAATTCTTTGCACACAACCTCACATAACACAGGTGTTGCAGAATGAAGATGTGATTTCAGGGGCAGCCCTCAAAACATGGCCCTGCTCCCTTGTCACCACAGAATTGCCCTAAGTGTAAATATAACTATTATGTTTTAAGAGACATCTTCTACAGTCAAGGTCCAGTCTTCCTCATATGACGATGGGGCTTGGTTGAAATAGGTCACAGGCTTCCCTGTGCCTTGGCCAAATTATCTTTTTCTCTTGCATCTGACCTCAAGCTTGCCAAAGAGCTGTCTTCCAGGCTTCTAAGCCCTCCTCCTCTTCACCCTTGAACAGACCAAGAGGAAGATCAGCACTGCAGCCACCCATTTTAACTTGGTTATAATGCAATTTAAACACAGTGACAGAGGGGCTGGAAGTGTCCATGATATAAAGACTGCAGAGAATCAGGATATACACACCACTCCCACTTAAGAATCCTATGTAGGTCACTGAATTAATGTACACAGGGGTTGAAGTCTGGTTTTTAGTGCCAGGGCTCAATTCTGAGAAATGTGCAACATTTTTTACCTGAACTTCAAGGCCTGAAGTTCAGGCAGCAGAGCATTACCTCATTTACCCAGGGGTGGACACAATTGCTTTTGTGTAGACATGGGTAGGATTGCACTCACTGAGTTCACTGAAAAAGAGATCCTCATTATGAACTCTCTCGACTGTGGTGCCAGTCTTATTGCAAATGTGTGGAGGAGACATCCTGAGCTCCTAAAACCTTGTGTAAATATCAGCACATTAATTTAGTGACCAATAAATCTAATCAACAGCTCCTGCGAAAGTATGGTTGCCACCAAGATAAAGGAAAGGCAACTTTAAGACAGGAAAGAAACAAGGATAACCTGTTTAGTCATTGCTCATTAGGATTATATTCTTTCAAATTTCAAGTAGGCAGGAAATTCTAGGAAGAGACAACAGAACAATAAAAACATTGAAATTATAGTAATTTGCTCATCTCAAAGCCTCCCTCTCTTCTCCATTACAACATATTGGCTAAAATTAATACAAAAGCCCAATATTTCCAATGGTTAGTTAGCTCTCCAAGTTCCAACAAGGATCTTACTCAACACTTTCAAGGAACCAGGACATGCTTCACTTTAAGGACAGTTATACCCTTCCCCTCCATTTATTGTCTTGCTATTAATGTGAGTTGTGTGGCAAAATTGGCACTCTTGCTTTCTGTAGGCTTTTGAGAATAGTTTTAGATTCTTGCACTCTTTAGATCAAGGCATGTGTGTACTGTACCATTTTGCTGCCTGTTCAACTTGCAGTTTCGCTGTCTGAAGCAGCATTTATATAATTCTGTCACTTCCATTTCATTTAATAAACCAATATTTATTTATTTGTGTGGGAACTTCTTGTGGGCATACGGTTAAGGGTAAACACATCTTCATAACAAACACACGTCGTAACTCCAGCAAAAGATCCTAAACCTCTTGATAGTAGTGTGTGTATGAATACATGCAAGTGGTGGACACGCACGTGGGTTCAGACACATACACTGTAACACATCTTTCCTTTCATAAAGTTATAGACCTTAGCAATAACTTATTTTATGAAGACTCCTAACTGGTTAAATCACACCACAATCCTAACAATGTCTACTCAAAAGTAAGCCCCACAGGATTCAAAGTGGGTTGCTCCCAGGGAAATGGGGTTAGGATTGCCGCCTCAAAAAGGACGAGCAAAGCAGTACCAGAGGCACAATATCTTGTTAGTAAGCAGATAACAACATTACAGTGACTATAATTAAATCATTGCTATGAGCATGACCATTTTTAATCACCCTTTCCTTTAATCACCAAAAAGTAATTTTCACTTAAATAAAATGGACACAATAAATCATTTAATAAAAGTTGCATGAGCAGTAGACTCACAAAAACTTTCAGTAGAAACACTGGATATTAATTTAACTATTAACTTTCCCTTTGGCCCAGCAAACTAAATTTTAGCTTGACCAGTTATCACAGGTTAAGGAAAGTTAAATTATCTTTCACCCTACTCCCAAGTGCTATGTAACATGATGCGAATACATTGGAAAACAGAAGTAATAGACAGTAAAATATCATAATTTCACCTTCAAATGTATTAATCTTTTATTTGTAGAATACATTAACAGAACTCCTAGAGGACTGTTTGCACAAGTTTGCTAGAAAACCTGTCCAAACATACAGAAGTGTGCAATAATACCAACCTGAAATGTATTAAAATTTAATAATAACAATAATGTCAATTTGACTTCATTTTGAAATATTTAAGCAATGACAAGCACCCTTGTATTTATTTGTAATTTGAAAAATCCCTCTTTAAACATATTGGTGGTAAAAACAAAGTCATGACTTGATGTGACCTTTCGTCTTGCATCTCAAACCCGGCTTTTCCACTACCATCACCACACAAATGCATTTGATAAATATAATGGCCAGCAAATTTAATGCCAGCTCAGTATTCTTGACCCTCCTTCCATTCTGTTCACTTAAACAAACACACTACGAATATATTGTTTGACTCAATTAAATGTACATTCCTCTTCTTTTTAAAAAGCAGAAATGATTAAAAAACAACAACCCACAAATACTGTTTCAGGGTGAGGATTAGTGATGTGACTAGTTCTAAGCCAATCAATGCTATGTTCTGCTGGCATCTGGTGTAAACACAAATAACAAATGTTTTCCTCTTATGACACTTAAAATATGACAAGTAGACTTCAGTGGCCTCACTGCTTAAACTTATACAAAGTCTATAGCCACTCTATGGTCGTGATCCACATCTGTATGCATTTCATGGCTGAAGGATTCCTAGCTTTCTTTTCTGAGGAAACATTTCAGAAGGGAGCCCCTGCATGTATCTAGGCTATTTATTTCCCTTTTACAAAGAGAACAAAGGCCCCTGCACATGAAAGGCTTTGGCTTGCATTCTAAGGCTGCAATTTTGCACAGTGCTTCACAAATGAAAGTCCTATTAACTATTTGAAAGGGGCTGATCATAAATGAGCATGACGTAGACAACAGCTCTACTAAAAGCAAGTAATACTAGTAAACACCACTGGGTTCCAGGTTGTACTCTTAAGCTTTTGGTTAACAAGTTACTCATTTCAGATTTTACATATATTTGAAGAAAAACAGCTAGTAGCTTTCAACAGTTACCCCTCCTTGAATCTGTCCAATGCTCTGTTAGACAGATAACACTACATCTTGCAGCAAGGACTTCTGTGAGTTCACTGTACATTATATGAAGCAGCACTTCCTTGACCAACCAGTTTCATGCAGAATGTAAGTGTTTTGACAACATACATTAATACTTCTAATAATTCTGGATAATATTATTTAATTCAATAGTAGGATTTACAGGATTTTGCTGCAACACTTTAATTATTCCTCATAGCCCCATACAGAGGTAGAAATGTCTGGGTTACCAGATTTTACAGCAGTATTTCACAGATATGAATAGGTTTAATAGTGAACAGTTAATGGTGCACAATTACTGTAAGAATCACACAGTATAGACAGATTCATAATTTTTATGTCTAAACATTGTAAACTAAGCCATTTAAAGGAAACCCATGCGCTCCCAAGTTCTTTATGTTGGAATAACATCACACACAAAACAACTCATTGTGCAGCACCTGAAAACAAAATACTTTGTGCTACCCAAAAATAGCAGAGTTGCTATTTTTTAACATTTTGGTTGTCAACATGGCCAGTTTCCTTCTGCTACTTTTTCAGTTGAAAACAGTAATGTGTATACAAAAAAATAACCAACATAATACCAAGACTTGTTAGACTCAGCTTCAATCACTATTTTTTCAAAGGATGGGTTAAATACTGTATATATATTAAAAATGAATGTACCAAGTCCAAATGCCATTGTTCTTTGGTGCTGTTTTTCTCTTGTGCCATGATTCTCATAAACCAACCCTCTCTCCAAGTTGCTTATCAAAATCATTCTAGGGAGAAGAGCAATAGACATTCTGAATCATTGGGGGGGGGGCAATTGACAACCCTCCCCCTCAAGTGACATGGCTCCAACTAGCAACTATGCCTGCTATAAAAATGGAAATGAAGGAAATGAAAAGATGCATGAGTAGCACAACTTGTCTAATATATTTTACTGTATTCAAATGGGATTTAGGTAAAGGTAAAGGGACCCCTGGCCGTTAGGTCCAGTTGTGGACGACTCTGGGGTTGCGGCGCTCATACGCAATTTACCTTCCCGCTGGAGTGGTACCTATTTATCTACTTGCACTTTGATGTGCCTTTGAACTACTAGGTTGGCAGGAGCAGGAACGGAGCAACGGGAGCTCACCCCGTTGCAGGGATTCGAACCGCTAACCTTCTGATAGGCAAACCCTAGGCTCTGTGGTTTAACCCACAGAGCCACCCGCATCCCACAGCGCCACCCATGTCCAAATGGGATTTACTCCCATGTAAATGTGTATAAGGGTCAGGGGTCCCTTTACCTTTACCTTAAATGTCTATAAGACTGTTTGAATCTTGACTCATTCAATGAATTAACTTGGTCTTAGGCAGGATCTCTCCACAATCCCCAAAATAAGGATATTACTACTCTTAGAGGACTCTTACAAGGTTTACACATGAGACATGGAAAGTGCTTTGAACATTCTGAAGTGCTATATAAATGATAAGTGCTATTAAGAAAACAGTGCTTTAACTGTACTCCCTCAATTTTAAATATTTGTACAGTCTGACTTGCAGTGACAGACACACATCACGGTTTAGGACTGGCACAGCTTCAGTTTGTTTGCTTCAGAATTACTGAACAACAGATTGCCAGCTTATTTGTTAATTAAGGTACCTGCATAGTAATGACTGGGGGTGGGGGTGGGGGTAAGGAGATGACTAAGCAGTAATAACATCTTCTAGTCATTGACAGAAAAAGCTATAACTTGCCGATTCCCCCCATCCTGCCATTTAGCTGGTAAAGCCACAGAAAATCAGCAAAGGAGTTGGCAGTCCTTTAAACCATAAGATAAGCTATTAGGACAAGCATTCAAACACAGCATGAGTTTAGTGTTGGCACTAGTATTGGGTTTAGAGTTTGTTTCCCCACTACCTTCGCTTTGCCAAAACACACACAAAAACTATGCTCAAATTAAAAGCTTGAGACAGACACAAAGGTGATCCACAAATGTTTCTGCATTTTTAGGGCTTTCCTGCATACAAGTTCAATTACACAAAAACTGTTCATTTATTGTGCGCATTCTTCATGTCTTTCTTCAAGTTTTCACTTCTGTTGGAGACACCACTATTTCCAAACACTCAAATCACAATACTTTATACCTGGGAAAATGAGACATTTCACACAGATAACACATTCATTGCCATTAATGTTCAGACTGGAACAGAGCAAACAACTCACAGGCACCAGAATATTTTTGCAATGCAATTAACAATGTGTGACAATGTTTCCATCATATGGCTATACAGTATTTTGGTGAACCAGATGCACCAAATTAAAGGATTATTTCTGTGGCTGCTTTGCTTCTTACACCATACAGTGCTCCAGCAAAGAAGCTCTTAAACATATACAAAAAATGCAACAGAAGCAAGGCTAACATGTAGCAATGTCTTGTGATTTTGCAGACCCTTCCATTCAGAACATTTATTTATAATATTTGCAAGTCACTTTTTCCATTCACAGAGTGGGTTGTGCTCAGAGCAGCATACATCACCATCTTATTAATATTCTTTGGGTCTTTACAATCCTTTTTCTTGCACACACATATAGCTAAATAGAATACTGTAGTAAACTCCTCTTAGACAGTAGGATGTCTATTTATAAAGCCAGGGTTGTATTTCTATGGAACAAAAGAAAATTCCTAGTCCCAGATTTTCATATTGGGACCAACTGGCTCAGTCTCACAATCCCAATCCTGAGTATTTGTGCTTAAAAGTATCATTAGTTTTAATGGCAGTTATTTCCAGTGTGTTTAGGTGTAGAGGATGTTAACGTGACACAGACTACTTCAGGGGTAATGTTCTAGTATCTGGGTTTTGGTCATGATGCTGACTTTCAGTAGCTGCAGAAATTACAGCAATTATCCACACAGTTACTGTGGATAACCGTAGATTCACATCATTTCTAAGGGCTAGCTCCCACAGAGGACAGATAAGGAAATAAATGTTTTGTGGGCTGTAGTTGAAACAGCATGCACTGACTTATATGGCTGAATGCTCTGCCATACAAAAATAAAGAAACAGAACTGCTACATTTAGGGAACTTGTATGGCAGGGAAACGGCTAACTTAGGATCATTCCTCTGACGTACTAAATTTTGGTTGGTTGGTTGGTTGTTTTTTGGTACAGAGAAGCATTCAGTCAGTCATGTGAGCCCACACCTGCAAGTCCAGGAAGAGGTTTACCACATTATCTGCTATTTGTGAGAACTAAGCCTAAGTCATGATCCTTTCCTGCTCAAGCCCTCAATTCCATGGTTCTCTTAGCAACTGACTAAACACAGCCAAGACAGAAGATTCTGGTGCTATTTTCAATAATTGGTTAAAATGCTTTGCTTCAGTCCTTTTAATATATCTCCCTTCAGAGCCCTTTTCAAGTATTAGCACCCAGTGGAAGAGATTTTCTTTGCTAGTGTTCTATAAACTCCACTATCAAAGGCAGCATGCCTCTGAATTCCACTTGATGGGAATCAGAAGAGCACCATTAAACTCAGGTTCTGCTTATGAGCTACACAGAATCGCAGTGCTAGAAGGCTTCCCCAAGGGTGATCTAGCTCAATTCCCTGCAGTGCAGGAACCACAGCTAAAGAATCCCTGAAAGGTTACCACCCTATGAAGGTTTTTCAAACAAGTCTCTTAAATATTGCAGAGTGCTTGGTGTTCCCTCTCCTTCGCACCTGTCCAGGTTGGGCCCCAGAGAGCTGCCCGCTCAGCTTGCCTGCCTCCCCTCCTGGCATTCTTGCTCACCCCCAGCTCTGGTGGTGGAGAAGCAGGCCCCCTCTGTCCTGGGGGAGCCAAAGGTGGGGTTGCCACTGGGCTCCCCCCGTCTCTTAGAGGGGTCCAAACTGTCTTTGAGCCAAGGGAGAGAAGGCTCAAGAGTTCAGGGCTCATGGTATCCTAAGGCTGGAGGGCCCATGGAGGGCAAGGTGAAGCCTGATCTTCCCATATAGACATCTGGCTGGCCACTCTAGGATTCTGGACTATATGGACCTTTGGCACGATCTAGTAGGACTCTTCTTATGTTCTCACCTGAATAAGATTCCTCATCCCCATAGTAATGACTCAAGTGTAGCAGTGACCAATCTGTGTGTGTATGGCTGCCAAGCTAGTTCTGTGCTCAGTGAAATTACCTAGGTTAAAACCATCACATCCTTATGTGATGTTGTATTGAATTTTCTAGGTCATGAAACAAAAACACCCTGCTGTGATTTATGTTGTGCTGCTTGACTGAAGCTGAAGATTTTCAAATGTTGGAAAAACAGCTTTTCATCTTCTGATCAGCACCAATATCTACTATTTAAGTTACCCACATAAATATAATACACTGTTCAAGGATATGTGCCATTGCCACTTTTGCCTGTGCTACATAAATGAGTGTAGGTTGTGTTTTTTTTTAAGTAAATAGAAGTGTAACTAAGCTTTGTTCTATACATGTACTTTTAAGTTTAGAATTCTCAAGCACTGTCGGGTGTGAGTACTTTAGGCACACAATTCAAAACAATTTTCCCTTTGCTGCAGAAAGACTAATTTACCTGAGATCTGCAAAAATAAAGTTTTATTTATATTTGAATGTGGTACAAACCCCGCTTCCCCTCTGCTTCAGCCTAAAAGAGGCAAGAAGCGAACTCAATCTGGGATACCTGTGATTTTTTTTTAAAAAGCATAGCTGAAATAAATTCTCATTAAAAGGGGGCCAAGAAGCTTACAAAAATTAAAAATTTCCCTTCACCTTCCTATAATGCAAGTAATTTTTTTTCATAATACCTTTGCTATATAGACTGTATTAAGAAACATACAATTAAACCATTTATCCTATAAGCAAGCCATCCTGAAGGAAGCAATGTAGTTCCAAAAGGACAAGTTTCCTTGTTTTCAGGAATATATAAGTCCGGTCAATTTTCATCATCTCGTCTATAGTGAATAGTCTGAATTTCCTGAGCTATGAATGCAGCCATTTCCTGGGTACCTGCTGCAACCACTCGGCATGACATTAGATCTAGAGGTCCACCTACGAAAGGAGAGGGATTTGATCAGTCAAACGAAGCACCTGAGATTCAAAAGTAATGCAAGACTCTGTCCCCTCTGTGACTCAAACCATTTCCCATATAGTACAATTCATCAGATGCAAGACCTCCATTTCACAGGAAGACATTAAGAAGCAATGCTTAGCTGGAACGCACCCACCTTCCCTCTATCATAGGATGGGGCAACCATTGGGAGATAGGCAAGTTGCCTGTTCTAGATAGGGTTGCACTTCCTCTGAAGGAACATGTGCCCAGCTTGTGGGTACTCCTGGATACATTTTTGTCACTAGATGCCCAAGCGTCCTCTGAGTTTTACCAGCTGTTTGGTCTGGGATAGCCTGACGGCAGAAGTCCATGTGCTGGTAACCTCGAGGCTAGATTACTATAATGTGCTCAATATGGCACAGCCCTTGGGTCTGCTGTAAATCTCCAGCTGGTGTAGAATGCAGCAGCTACACTGCTGACTGGGACACATGGCTGATAGCATATGACATCATTGTTAAAACATACGTTGGTGGGATTAATCTGACAACAACAACAAAACTGAGACGTTTTCTGCCCAGTAAGGGTGGAATGCTCTGCCAATAGATATTGAGCAGGCACCTTCATTTTCAGCTTTTTAACACCTCCTGAAAAACTTTTCTATGTCACCAGACTTATGCAGGCAATCTTTCCATATTACCGTATTTTTCCGTGTATAAGACACCCCCATGTATAAGACGGCCCCTATTTTTTGAGCCCAAAATTAATAAATATTTTAAACACCAAACCAAACAACTTTGAGATTTTATTAAATATTCAAAACACTGGTATATTTAGTACCATATATTGAAACATCGAACAGTGAGGCAAGCTGTGTAATGGCAGCTGCTCCCGTCAGCTCAGTGTAACTCCATTGTAGCTGCAGCTCCTGCTCTCCCACCTGTGTGTTGCACTTTTGTCTCAGTATTTACAGTATGTACTGTATTTACTTCACAAGCGCCGGCAAATGCGAATGCTGATCGAGGAGCTGCGACTTCCAGAGCTGCCTGAGTGAGTGCGCTTGGGGAATGGGGGTCTGGGTAGCCAGGGGGAGGCTGAGGGAACCGAGTGGAAAGGACAATGTCCGGAGTGGGGGCTGCTGGGGGGGAGTACCAGACCAGGGTTTGTCGTGAGGCCATTAGTGAGGTGAGGGGGGGGGGAATAATATGGATGGCGGCATGTATTTATTTATATATTTAATTGTAACATTCCATGTATAAGACAACCCCCAATTTTAAACTTCAATTTTTTGGGGGGGAAATATTGTCTTATACATGGAAAAATACGGTAATTAGTTGATGGCACCTGTATTTAAATGTTATGTTTAGATAGATAGATAGATAGATAGTCGTAAACTGCTTTTTTAAGATGTGGTGATATGAATATTTTTATAAATAAATGTGCATTATAAACATGTGTTATAAAAATAATATTTTTTGCTTACCTGAAGTATCCATCACAACACCACCTGCCTCTCTGATAATAACTGTAGCCGCTGCCAAGTCCCAACAGTGCAAGCCAAACTGGTAATATGCATCTGCAGCACCAGATGCTAGAAGACAGAGCGCCAATGTGGAACTTCCAATGACACGAACCCTACAATAAGTCACAGGTGGGAGCAAAAACGCTTGTGAAAAGAACGAAAACCATTGATAAAGCCAACCCATGAGGATGTGCTCATGAGTCAAGGTTAGAAAAACAAGTCATCAGTTTTAACCAACGATTTGTTGCACAGACAAACTGGCATATTCACAACAAGTTAAAATATTATCTTAAGAAAAGCCAGTCATATGTTTCCAGGTGTTTGTCTCAACATCTTCCCCTTTCTTTACAATGTTATCATATCCAGCAAGCAATATCTGCTTGTCCTATTGACTTGACAATGCAATACAAGGCTGCCCCATCTTCATAACTCCCAAGCAAAAAGAAATAGGAGGGGTGCTGACTAACACTGAAAAGTTATATTGATGGTGCAATGAACACTGGCAGAGGAAGAGGAGTGTGGGGGGAGCACCCCGCCCCCCACAGGCGATGCGCGCCATGTCCCTACGGGCGGCGCGCCCCGCCCCCAGGATGCGCGCCAGCCCCGCCCCTGCCCCGCCTGCTCTCCGCCCCCGGTGCCGGAGTATGAAGCTCCGCCAATGGCAGTGAATGGGGAAGTTGGTTCAAAGGGAGTTCTGTAAGTGCACCAGAATGCCTGCAAAAGTTTAGGTTCACAAAATTTAAATGGATGGCCTCAGTAACTGAAATGTTAATGAAGGTGCTGGTTCTTTTCTTTACAAAGGTTTATGATTTATTTACTTTTAAAAGAAGATCTTACCCATGAGCTTGGGCCTTAAGCAATCGCTCCATGTTGCTGAGAAATAGTTTCAAAGTGTCAGGATCTCGTTTTGGGCCAATCTCTGTTAAAATCAAGGCCTTTGAGATATCTGCAAGACAAAAGGTTATTTTGTATTATTGCAACGGCTTTTCAAAGTAGGCACTGTCCAATTTCTACTGTGAAGGATCTTTGGATATTTTACAATAAGATCGCTTCGCATGTTCATATATTTCTGTTCCTTTTTGAGAGTCTTGCTTATTTCCAAAAGCTTTCAACAAAATTCTGTGTCTTGAAATTATGGAAAACAAATCTGCTTATTACTTTTAGCTAAATACGTTTATTTGGAAGCAGAGTCTTACCCTCTTAGAATCACAGCAGATTCTGCAATAATGTTCAGTCAAAATAATTCTACATCCCATCAACTCTAAGGCTATCACAAAGTACATTTTAGATCTTGCAGTAGAATATATAATTCCTATCATATTTTCAAAATTCATACGTGCAAAATTCAGAATTAATACTACCACCATGAACTAACATATTATTTTGAAAAAGCCTCTAAAGTGATTGCATAGCCTCATGCTGCTATTTCAGAGCTGCACACGTTAGAAGCCTATCCCAAGCCCTAGTATTCCAGGACCAATTAACTGAATTTCAAGCTTTTGGACAACTTTTCTTTAGCATATAGATACATACTTCACATCCTACGTGATTTTTTTTTAATTTTCCATTGAGAAGTCTGCTAGACTTCCTTAATCACAATAAAAAGTCTCTCTGCTTCCACTGATAGAAATCAGTCAACATATTTTTCATTAAGAAATAGGTAATAAATAATCTAGAATTCCACCAACTCTGCAGACTGACAGTGCTAATCCACCCTAAGTAGGCTGCTTCATTATTGCAGCCCCAACATGAAATGGGGTACACTTTAAATACATTCCCTGCAGTGGCTGTAATGTTTAGATTACATTTTTTCAGGCAGTTTTACATAATTGTACAGAGATTCATGCCAGCACCATTCGTAAGATATGAACTATGTCCACTCACCTGTCACTCAAGAGCTGCCTAATCATAAGATTAAGCAAGGGTCACCAGTTCTATTGCGGCCAAATTTACAGTGATTTATAAAAGCCTCTTTTAAACTATTAAGCTCAATAATTAAAGTATGGTATAGAAAAGAAGGACTACTTAAATAAATGTAAAATATATTCAGTTATGCAGAAGATACATCGAGGGTGCAATCTTATGTGCACTTACCTGGAAGTAAGCTCCACTAAACAGAGTGGATCTTACTTCTGAGTAAATATGCAGAAGATTGCTCTGTAAGTCTACTTACATACGGTAATGTGACTCTCTAATAATACAATATTCAAAATATTTCTTTTAGAGCACTGAAACCAACCTGTCACTTTTGATACCTGAAGCCTTTTGTCATTACAAAATGCCCCTTGACCTCTTCTACCAGTGTATAATCGTTCTTCCGTGCAGTGATAAATTACACCAAATTCAAGCTTTAGCGTTTTGGGAAAGGAAAAAGATCATGAATGCAATTTGTATTATATATATTGCAATATAAACAGATTATCACTATATAAAATGCATATAAATGGCAGTTTATGCTACTGATAATAAAGAAGAAATGGTTTTGAGCATGCCAGGCTTTCAACTTCACAAGGTACATAAAATTTCAAAAAGAAATTAGTTAATCCATCTCCACAGACATTTTAGGGTTAATTCTTACATGTTCAGGAAGCCCCTGGAAATCTTTTCTGCACAGTGTTGACAACAATGAGCAAGAGCTCAACACATCAAACATATCACACAACTGCTTAGTTTTCAAGTTAAGCACCAGTTACTATCCAGATATAGCGCTGGCACAAAAACTCGTTTCCTAGGTCTGTTGAGTGGTGCTGCCTGGAGTAGCAGGACAGAGGCTTCAAGTAACCTACAGCACAAAATCCATAGATAAAAGGTTCAGTATCCCATCTCTGCTTTACCACTTGACATCACCCCTATACCTTATTTTACAGTTGCTATGAATAAGTAAGTCCGACACAGGCATGTGAAGTTGTATCCTAAGAGTTACCAATATCTGATGCTGAATATACAGTACAGGAGTGGTGATAAGAACTAAATGCAAGACTATTATCCCTACCCAACATGTCTTTGCCAAATATTATTCTATGGAACAGCTTTGTCCTTTCCACCTGCCATCTAGCAACAAGGGTGTGTCCCAGCCAACAGACAACATTTGTTGTTTCCCCTACAGCATAGTCCTTTTGTGTTCTAGTGGGTTCTGCATGAAGAAAGGCTGCATTGCATTACCATTGCATATGTGTAATGCAAAGTCAGCTACTCTGCCCTTGAAGGAATAGTATCAAGGGCAGACTTATAAAGGCTGCCAAAACAGGTTTTCTAACAGTCAAGACAAGAATGAAAAATTATGTTGCAGCACAGGTAGGTAGATGGCAATAGGGGGGGAAAAAACAACTGGTAAGTCTGCCACTTGATTGATGAGCTGGAAGCTGCTTGCGCAGTCACTCAGGAAACGAATAGCATAGCTTGATCTGACCTTTCCCTTAAGTATGACACTCCTAAAGGCATTTACTTGGAAACAAGTCTTGTTGATTTTAATGGACCTTATTTAAGAAAAGAGACATACATACATGCATACATACATACTCCACATTTTTCTCTGACAGGGACTCAAGGTGGCTTACAAATTAAAAATAAGAAAAACATAGAAAAAGCCATCATTAAAAAACAATTAAACATTGATAGAATTAAAACATGCAAGACTACTTATAAAAACAGGTCCCTGAAACTGGGATTAGCTACCTTTACATTCTGCCAGCCATAAAGGCAGGGCGACTTATACATACTCTTTTACCCAAAGAATGATTCCAGAATCCATTCATTTATGGTAGGTCATAATAAGACTACTCACAACACCGAAGGATTGGTTTCAGGATTATGCAGATTGGTGTATTCAACCCAAGGTTATAACAGATTAACACTTCAAGATAAATACAGTAACCTAAATGGCTTTCTGTGAGCTTTGTTACTTGTTATGAAGCTCACAAGATTCTCACTAAGTTTGTTAGATATTTTTCACTTAATCACGATAGCAGCAGATAAAGCTTTATCCTATACCTCTTGATTAACAGCAAATCCAATGCTGACGGCCACAGTCGGAAACCTGTGTAAATAAAACCAGTTGCGTCTGTTAGTATGCTCTCTAAACAGTTAATTTCAACAACTTTACCTGTCAGAAATGCAATTGTGTTTGTTCTCAGCTAAGAAATCTGAGAGTCTTAATTTCTTTGTATCTAAAGGAATTGCACATTTTTACTTTTTACCTTTTAAAAACAATCCCAATGGTTAAAGAATTAGGGGCATCCTGATCTGTTGGATCAGTTTAGCAGTGACCTTTCCCCTGTAGCTGAAGCAGAAATAGCTGACTTGACTTTTTGATTCTCAGAAAATCCCTTTCCCTTCTTCAAATCTTAGGATGCTGTGCAATTGATCAGAACTTGACGACTGATTCAACTACAACCATCCCTCCCTCTTTTGAACTCTCCACTGAGTTTCAAAACCAGCTTGTCATGCTAATGGCAGGGAGAAGGAAAGTATATTGTTAAAAGCAATTGTCCTTAGGAACATTGTACTAGTCCAATAGTTCTCTGGATTTCAGCCAAAGCCTCTGATGATAAGGGATTCTTTTAGAATAAGGTTTTTATAGGTAACTGGTATGCTGAACGAATATAGGGATGCGGGTGGCGCTGTGGGTTAAACCACAGAGCCTAGGACTTGCTGATCAGAAGGTCAGGTCAGCGGTTCGAATCCCCGCAACGGGGTGAGCTCCCATTGCTCGGTCCCTGCTCCTGCCAACCTAGCAGTTCGAAAGCACGTCAAAGTGGAAGTAGATAAATAGGTACCACTCTGGCGGGAAGGTAAATGGCGTTTCTGTGCGCTGCTCTGTTTCGCCAGAAGCGGCTTAGTCATGCTGGCCACATGACCCGGAAGCTGTACGCCAGCTCCCTTGGCCAATAAAGCGAGATGAGCGCCGCAACCCCAGAGTCAGTCACGACTGGACGTAATGGTCAGGGTTCCCTTTACCTTTACTATGCTGAACTAAGGTGCCAACCACTACAGTTGATGATTGTTTATGGTACAGCAATGGCAGCTCCAAATTCTTGTGCTACTTAGTAATTACACCCTTTTGGTACTTGTCCCTGCACTTGTGTATTGGTGCTATTCAGTTCTGTCCACCTGTAATAGACTTCTACAAGGCACTACAAGGGCAAGAACCTATCTTGATAGTAGCCAAACTATGTAACAAAGGATTTGAGAGTGTGCACTCCCCTCACAATAACACTTGGGAAGCCCAAAGTCATAAACTAGAATTGAGTTTGTGCATATGCACTCATCAGAGTCTTCGTCCCAAAGCACTGGGGCAGAAGTTGACTCAAGAAAGGAACCTTATGTGCAAGCAAGCCTTACTCAAATAGGTTGGACACAGAAAAATAAAGAACGACAAAGAGCTTGAGAAAAGGCAGACGTAGCTTTTTTTGCAGCACTGTTTATGTATTTACCTATGTACAAAATTACAGGTGCCATCAACAGGATCAATAATCCAGGTAGGGCTGTCACAGAGAATGCACTTTGAACCAGCAGCGGTAGCTTCTTCAGCAATAAACCTATAATGGATGAGAAAATTAAAACTGAATTATTGGGAGGCACTTAGGCACTGGCATACCCAAACGTAGCTATTTTCTGCTACATTTGGCCTTAAACAAGCATCAGATAAAGTACTATAAGTTATGCTAAGGGGATCTATGTGAGTCTTTGCATATTATCCAAGAGCACATATAGAAGGTGTTCAAGTGACTTTCAGGGTCTCTACAGAGATTTCAGGGTCTTACACAAATTGAAACCCATGTATTTTCACTCATGAAAAGCTGTGTGTGAATACAATGTAGCAACAGTTTGTACATCACAACAGGTAAGAGGTGTCATTTTGGATGACAGTCAGAAGCACATATAGAAGATATACAAGTCACTCTGCAATGAGTAGTTTTCTTACTATTGAAATAAAAACTACTGAGTAAGATTCAACCTTTGTTCAATATATGAACCAGACAGGCACATGAATAGAAAACACCTGTTCATCACTATCGTGTCTTATTTGGCTTTAAATCGCAGTGTGGGTTCCCTAGTCATGTGACTGCCATATTTGGACATCACACTAAACCATGGTTTAGCATGAAGAGAATGAGCTGCACCAAGCTATGGCCTCCCTTTCCAGGACACAAGGAGATCAGAAGCCTAAACTGCAATTAACGCTTACTATGATTTGTTTCCAAGAACAGGACCATTTTTACACAGACCACCACATGTATTTTTGAACATGTCTTGCGCTATAATGCACATGCAACCCTTGACCTTTTGCTGCACTGTGTGTACATTCCAGCAATTAGTTTCAGCTTGCGCAAAGGACATCAAGCTTTACAAGATTACTCACACCTGGAAGAGTTACAGTTTTCCCACCTTTTCACAGCTATTCTTTCCCAATTAAAACTAGATGGCAACTGTCTATTGAAGCTTAGTGCTATATTTGTGAAAACAACCTTCAATTCCAGCCTATATAAAGGGAAGGTTACTGTTTTTGTTGCTGCTGCTGGGCTTTTTTTCATGTGAACAGATGTCCACTAAGATTAGGCTAAAACTACTATATTCATTTCATTACGGGAAATCTAATCTGGATTTGAGAAGACATTGGAGGCAGGAGAATTAAAAAAGAACACACCCTTTTAACATGTTGTCTCCCGCCCATGGCCAACCAGTTATATTTAACAACTCTCACCTGATGTTTAACTGGAGGAGTAGAATGGTTACAGAAAGGTGGTCAACCTTTTGTTCTCCTGAGGACAATCAGTCACCCTTTCTCTACCAATCAGCAGGGGGCAGGTACCTCTCCATCACAGTGCTATGCTTTGAGAAAAGGTTCGTCTCTCCCCACCCAGATCTCTACTCACTTACTTCCCAAATGCCCCAAAATGCTCCTTCCTGTTTCCTGAGCACTATAACCTCCTAGCTGTGGTGCTGTGCCAGAGGGAAAAGAAGCTCCCGGTTTCTCCTGGGGCTGGTAGATCACTTGAAGCATCTCGGTTCAAATCCCCAATTACCACAAAACTCATTGAATGACTATCTCTCAGTCTAACACATCTCAAAGCACTGGGATGGGCTATACATTTTATTGCATAACTAGGGATCCAGCTAGGTTGAGGGCTGCATGTCAGTGGTAGACAAAGCGAAAACCACACGTCCCCATGCTCATCCATCCCCCTTTCATAAGTTATTTACAAATCTTCCCTTCTCTCCCCCACTGTTAGCAATCTGGCAATTAGGTTTAGAACCAGTGGCGTAGTGTGGGGGGTGCAGGGGGGGCCGGCCGCACCGGGTGCAACATCTGGGGGGGGGGCGCTCGCACTCGCAGCTCTCTGCCCCTACTAAAATCCACGGGTTCGGGGGCGCAAATTACTTGCCTTGCCCCGGGTGCTGACAACCCACATTACGCCACTGTTTAGAACAAAGGCCCCTATTTGCATTAATGGGATCTGTTTTCTTAAGCCTAATTGCCATTCTGTCTCCTCACAATCTTTAGAAGAGTAGCAACATATGGGGAAGGTTAACTCACCATGGCTAGCTCTCACCACTACAAAAATCACTCCCATGCAGCAATTAGGGTTAAGAAAAATGGTCTCAGCTAATTGCTTCATGGGGCTGAAACAGATGAGGGGAGGCTGCAGGATAGATGCAAAAGCTCAATGGGCTGCAACTAGCCTACAGGTTGCCAGTTCCCCATCCATTTATGACATCTTCAGACAATTGGCGGCACATTTAAGTTTATCACCAACTGTACGCTTGGCAGAACTGTAGCCAATCCCTGTTATCTTACTAGTGTACGTGAGGTGCATGTTTGTATCATTCAGTCACTGCATTCATACAATGTGTGAAGCAGCTTATTAGTACTGATATTCTCCAAGCTTTCTTATTCACAGAATGACATTTTCAATTCCAGTTCAAAACATAACTTGCCTAGGATAATACCATAGCTGGACCTACCTGTGAGAGGGAAATTTTTCTTTCAGAGCAGAAACAATTAAGTTTTCCACAAAGTGATCTGTTTCTGTCACAAGATCTGCTGCAGAAGTTTTGGTAGACACCTGTTTTTCCTCAGTGAGAGCTTTGCTAATAATCTAGAAAAATTAAATCAGAAATTACTTTACCATTTCCCTCCACAGAACTCTCAACTGACTCAAATGACAAGCAATAGACAAAAAAAGTTCACAGTTATGCCCATATAGAATTGCTTAAAAACATCAAACGGGTTTTGTAAAATCAAATAAAAATTATTCCCCCCATCAAAAAAAAACAAAATCAAACTGGTACTGCTGTGACATGTCACCAATATTTCAGAGACACTGGTCTGTAAGCCATTCGGTTACATTTTCAACATTTAGAACTTTGCTGCGTTGGAAGCCACAGGTTTGTCTCTAAATTATTATAAGCACAAATGTATTTTTACATATTGTTTCACAGTGATTTCCATGGTGAAATTATCCTGAAGAGAGCAGGTAAGATGTTTCATCACTCAGAGGCAGAGGATGGGTGAGAGGAAGGGCTATCTGTATGTGGTCTTAAACACACACAATTGTTTCCAGAGAGCAATGGACATATCTTCCCCCTCACGACTACCACAGCATTTGACCAAATTCTGCTTTAGTAGCTTGATAGCCATCCAAATTTTATGAACGAAGGGGAGACTTCAACAAGATAGTATTTTTACACATTGTTGTTTCAACTGAAATCAAAAAAATTGCTTTTGGATTAAGTCCCTTTCCTTCAAAATGGTTTCAGAATGCGACCCTATGGTAGAAGGGCATGCTTACCCAATTTACCTATTACTTCTGCTTTAATTTGACAACTCAGAAGAAGCTGTGTTATACTGACACAGGCCATGGGGCCATCTAGCTCAGTAATGTGTATACTGACAGTGGTTGTCCACCATTTTAGACAGGAGTCTCTTTCAGCCCAAGCTGGGGATGTCAGGGACTAAACATGGAATCTTCTGCTCTTCCACAGAGCTATGGCCCTTCCCCATGACTCCTCCTGGTAACTGTTCGGAAACTGCAGCTGGTACAGAATTTAGTGGCCAGATTGCTGACTGAGGCAAGTTGGGTCCTGTCCTTGTGAGAACAGTCCTCACATTTCAGAACTGAACTCTGACATTGAAAAGAAATTACAATCAACCTGGCCTGGAAAGAGAACCTGTTTATTATATATGGGATCATTCTTACCTTCAAATACTGCTCTATTTTTGCATATCGATGTACAGTAGTTCTTACTGGGTCATTTTACTAGGATTTCTTATAATGCATAGTTCTCCTTACCTGTATGTCAAAACACCTTTTCAACTTCCAGTTAATGGAATGCTATTGGCTAGAAACTGATACAGTATTTCCTTTAACTCATTTTTTTTCAACCTATACATTGCCCTTTAAAAAAGGGGTCACATCTTAACAATGTGGCTCCTTAAATGGTATCTGAAGTTGGCAATGGAAAAGCAAGGCATTCCTAGTGAAATCAGGACTACAGACTTTTACCCAAACTCTTGTTGAATATTAACAAGATACATCCTTGACACTGAACACATTAATGCAGATACAACAATGATGCAATACAGATTACTCCCATTTAAACCCACTCAACAACCTCAAATTAATGTGTTGGGTTTTTTTAAACCAAGTGTTCCAACAATGTTTTCTTTGATATTTTACCATGGGCTACTTTTAGGCCAGGTAGTTAAGAAGAGCCATTTCTGTAATGTCCAGAAATGCAAGGTAGATTTCCTTTGCCCTTTTGTTTGACCTGGCCCAGTTGAACCCCATTTACCTCCTAAACTGTTAATCCACAGTTAGCCCACATCTGACTTCATTTCTGGAAAAAATACTTCTGTCCACCAGTTCTCTCTCTTTCACCAGCATCTCCCCATTCTTTTCTCCACGTGCAATCTTATGCACTTGCTCGGGAGTAAGAGGGAGCTATTAAACTAAATGCACCTCGCGTCCCCGCCAAACATGCACAAACTCGACCGGCCAGCCAGAATTGACAAGGCTGCGTGCAAAAGGCTTGCGGTACTCAGAAGCTCTGTCCGCAACCAGGAGACCTGGCCCTTCGCTGCCCAGCAGGTAACTTTGTGTGTGTGTGTGTGTGTGTGTGTGTGTGTGAGAGAGAGAGAGAGAGAGAGAGAGAGAGAGAGAGATGCAGCGATTTCTCAAGTCCCACACGAATCTCAAAAGGAGGCAGAGAGGCATGTCAATCCGTGTTTGGAGCTTCTTCTTGCTTACAGACCCCGCAGGGCCGGAGGAGGGGCAGCAGCGGAATGAAACGCTGCCGCCCCGCTCCCCCTTGCAGCCCTGCTTCCCCAGAGCCCCCCACGTGGCGCCTGCTCACCTGTCCGGCCCGGAGCGCCAGCTGCACCGCCACCTCCATGCACTCCTTCCAGGGGTCGCCCGGGCTGGCGGCCGCCTCGCCCCGTTTCTGCTCCCCGCTGGCCTTCATGGCAGCCGCTGCCCCCCTCCCTTCCAGGACGCCTCCGCCTTCTCGGGGCCCAAGCGAGGCGGCCTCCCCTCCTCGGTCCCCACCGCGCGGGGAGGGCGAGCAGGGGGCTGCGGCGCAGCGCTGGCTCAGGCGTCGCTCGTGCAACTTCCCCGCCGCTTGGCTGGGGCTGCCGCTGCTTCTCCTCCCGCTCGCGGCTGGACGAGGCTGACTTCTGCTGCCCCGCTGCGTCCCCGCTCCGACTTTCCTCGTCCGTCTGGCTCCCGCGTCCTCTTTCCTCGCTCGGGGAGGCAAGAGAGGCGCTGACGGCACAGAGGCGCCGCCTCCTTGGGCGAGAGTGACGGCGCTTTGCACCCATCCAGGAGCGGCAGCCTCCTCGCCACGCAAAGCCCGCTCGCTGGCTGCTAATTTTAGGACGCCGTTCAGACTGCTTGTGGCAGCAGCCGCAAAGGCTGGGCCCTTGAGCAGAGGACGAATCATGGGCTCGGGTGGGTGTGTGTTTTTGTGTGTGAGAAATAGGATGTGGCTCACAGGAAATCCCTCGCTTCTTTCAGGCAGCCGCCCGCCTCAGTTCAAGATCTGGTCTCATCCTCACCTCTTCCTCTCTGAAGTTGCTTCTGACTGCACAGCACTTTGTCATTGTTGCCATACAGGGTCGTTCAGCTGGCCAACCCCCGGTGCTGTTCCCCTCACTTTATCCCCCGAGAAATGCCCTTTCCCACCCCATGTAATTATGGAGCTTGCCAACCGCATTTCTGCAGAAATACCCATGCCTCTCCTCTCCTGCACACAAACCACCCCCACGGAAAGCTCCTACATCTTCCTCTTCCCACGCATTGCATCTGTTAACATACTTTTCACCTTCCGCCCAGTCAGGGCTGGACCAAGACACAATTGCGCCGTTCTGAGGTGAACCACAAAATGGTGCTCCCTCGTCTCCAGGGAAGGAGGAGTGAGTTAAAATCTAGGAGCAAGCAGTGAGTTAAGATCTACATCCTTGCCTTATGGGTGGCCCTACACCCAGTTAGGAAGCCACAATTTCCTCCTGTTCTGCAGAACCCTTAATACCTCTGCTTTCATCTCCACCCCATTCCCTTGCCTCCTACTCACTTTGTCAAGGCTGTACATTTTGTAGGTTTAAAAACAGATGTACATAAATGCACAAAGGATCAGGTTCTTCATGTACCTGTTATGGCGCATTTGGCTTCAGAAATTGGATATGTTACATAAATAGATCAGAACCCGAAAATATGAATCAATGATGTGGTCAGTTCCTAGCCTAACATTACATTTGCTCCTAAATTATGAGAATGTTGCATCTTAATCTGTACCTTATATTTCCAGGCTGTGAAAGTTTTGTGGGAGCTGACAGTTTTAGTATATAAACTTAGAAAATAATACACACATTTGTATTTATTGTATCACTATGCAGCTTAAAAAAACTTTTAAGCTATATAATCTCATATCTGTGGACAATAAAATGCTACATACACACACACATACACACATTGCATAATGCTTAAAATATGCTTACAGTTTGACTTCAAAATACCTATTTGTTGCATTTATATATCACCTTTCTGTCAAGCAGTTTATAATTTTAAAATACTAAAATATATTATATGTAAAGCTAGCCCTAGGTGGGGAGAGGGAAGTCTGACTGGAGAAGGTCTTAGTGTTGTCTTAACTTGCCTTGGCCACTCTCTTCTTCCTTCTCACGGGGTAGATTACTATTGGAGTAACTGGACATGAGAAGGGCTTCATTTCCTTTAAAAGTGTAAATCACTCCATGGATGAGCTAATCGCAGGTACATGGCCAGCCAAGCCAGCTGCTATGGTAATGGCCCAGTGCCCCTACTGTAACTGTGATAGATGCATGTCAACTCAGTAGTGTCCATTAATCAATTAGCCAGTCAGTGTAACTTGTCAAGTGTAACATCTTGAATTGCTGAACTTATTTAGAGCAACAGAGATACAGTACTTTGTACTTTTATGTATCTGTGTATATCCATATCTGCCTACAACTTACAAGCCATCCATGTGGTGACTGGTACTGGGAGCAACTTCTAGTAAATGGGTGTCTCACCTGCCTGAGATTCCCAACAATTATGACGATTGGCCTTATGGGTGGGGAGGGGACAGTCTGACTGGACTAAGCCCTGATATTATATTTTCCTCCCTGTGGTGGGTTCATCCAAGATCAGATACTACCTGTATCTGCAAATGCTACTACAGAATGTTAAATAACCCCCTCCTGCAAAATTCTGCAAATAGGCTTTGGCATGTTTCCTGTGCAGCAACTAAAGGTCAGGCACTCATTAAGAATTCACTGTACAGTTAATGGGTAGTACAGTGGCATACATCTCTGCTCAGAAGTAAGTCTCTTTGTATTCTGTTAGGATGGCAGCTTAGGCTTTGCTTTAGGGGGGAAGGGTTCTTGTGCCAGTAACAGCTGTATGACAGCCAGATAGTTATCAGGCTAGGATTTTCTATTGTGGAAATACAATTACGGGGAAAAAATTCACCATGACTGTGCTCTCTCTTAATTTTGTGTTATGCTATGCCCCACATGGCAGTCATTTTTTAACCGGTGCCCACAGCACTCTTAAAAATTGAAATGTGCTCACTGGCCCCAAAAGTGGTGATGCCTGAGTTACAGGGTTCTACTAACCAAAGTATATTGTAACTTGTTCATACCTACTACATGAAAGGCAAGAACAGACATACTTTGGACAGAAAATGTAGAACACAGCTGTGAATGGAAACCAGAATGTAGATCCTAAAACACTGGTGTAATGGTATTCTAAGATTCAGGACCTTCCACAAACTGTACCCTGTGAAGCCTTTATAATCAGTTTTCAAGTACAGTGACACATACTATGATCACAGTAGTAGTCTTTTGAAAGAATGTAACAGTAGAGGAGGAATTTAAGTAATATTATTTAAAATATTATGGATTTTATGAAAATCATCCTGGATAGTATTGCAATGCAACAGTGTGTGTGTGTGCGTGCGTGTGTCACTCTTTCTGTCTGTATGCAATATCTAGTGAAAGTTTAATTAAACATTGGAACACAAACTATCATTCCAAACACACTTTATAAAAAATTATGCAAATGTGAAATATACAAATTTAATTTAACACTCTTCTGGCTTTTAAAAATATCTGTTGTAGTTTGGTTATCCGTGATATGAGCATTATTTTCCAGCACACTTCACACATATTCATTTGGTATTCAGCTTTTACGTTCCAACTGCAGCTAACATATTTTTCCACCCTGATTTTTCTTGCTAGGGCATGCTTTGGAGACATTCTGTGTGGAGCCGGAATTATGCATAATGCACTGGAACATGAAGGCTGGTTTGTAGAAAACTGCTTCCACTTTATTCATAGTGCAGAAGTGGCAGGAGCAGCTTCTGAATAATAATGCAAATATTGATTTTATGATATGATGAATCACAGACAGTTTGGGGACTCTTTAAAACTACTATTGGCAGTTTTATTTTCAAAGTACCAACATACAAAAAAGGGGGGGGGATTTACAGTGCAGTCCTAAACATGGCTGCTCAGAAGTAAGTGCTATTGAATTCAATTGGGCTTTCTACCTCCTGACTGGCGTTTCCGTGCGCTGCTCTGGTTTGCCATAAGTGGCTTAGTCATGCTGGCCACATGACCCGGAAAAACTGTCTGTGGACAAACGTCGGCTCCCTTGGCCAGTAAAGCAAGATGAGCGCCGCAACCCCAGAGTCGTTCGTGACTGGACTTAACAGTCAGGGGTCCTTTACCTTTAGCTTTACCTCCTGACTTACACAACAGAGCAGACAGAACAGGGAGCCTGTATGTGGCAATAAAGCTGAGACTGTTAACAATCCTATCTTTATTTTTCTTTTCTTTTTTGAAAAAATATGCATCTCATTTGCATTATGTTTTAATTGTGTGTGTGTGCACGCCAAACCTGCTACTTGCCACCATGTCTACTAGACTGGTAAGGGCTGTGAGGAAGTCATGGGGGCATGGCCAATCAGTTCAGAGGGATATAGGCAGTTGCTCCGGTTTTTTTCTCCCCAACATCTTCCCTTATAAAGATACTGTGGACAGCTATACAAACACTTAGCACTGAACTGGACTGTACACTCTTTGGGTTAGAATTTCTTATTTTAATTATGTACACGGCCATCTACATTGATGGTGGTATATAAATAAATAAATAACCAATATTTGTCAGTTTTATTATTTAAGAGCATCCTGGTTTCACTGAACAACAGTGAATACCTGTGCAAATATAAGCCTTAGTTCTTGAAATTACATGCTGCAAAGTTATATTGAAAGTATATTAAAATGTCCCAGGGGAGGGAAACAGTGTTGCTCCAGATGTCCCTGGACTCCCATCAGCCCCAGCCGTTATGGCCAGTGGTCCTGGATGATGGGAGCTGGGAGTCCAGTAACTTCCACGTTTCCAATTCTTGCTGTAAATAAGGATTAAGAATTTCAAAAGGATTCTGGCGAAAGAACCATAGCTCAATGGAACAGTGATAATCACAGAGCTGTATTTTTATCCCAGTCTCTCCAACTCCTTAGTTTAGTTTACTGTGAATGACAGGTGGTTCCTAGCTGTTGAACCGTGCTCTAATATACCTTTCATAACCCCAGGAAGTTGATATTTCATAACCACAGACTTTCATAACTTGACTTCTCGGTGCTGTTAACTAAAAATAGCCTCTGCCTGATGAGACTGAAATCCTTTTGATCACCAGGTGTCATTATGTTTTAAAAAGTCATGGAGCCTCTGTAAAAGTTGCACTTCACTCAGGTCTCTGCAGTTTCTATCTTCTGTAGAATGAATGTGCAATGTTTCTATATCCTGATTTAATTTAGAGAAATGCAATGAAATGAAAAATTACTCTGCTTCTGAAGGACCAAAATCCAACAGCACAATCCTTCATGTCTAAAAGGTAAAGGACCCCTGACTATTAGGTCCAGTCGCAAATGACTCTGGGGTTGCGGCACTCATCTCGCTTTACTGGCCGAGGGAGCCGGCGTTTGTCTGCAGACAGCTTCCGGGTCATGCGGCCAGCATGACTAAGCCGCTTCTGGCGAACAAGAGCAGTGCACGGAAATGCCGTTTACCTACCCGCCAAAGCGGTACCTATTTATCTACTTGCACTTTGACATGCTTTCGAACTGCTAGGTGGGCAGGAGCTGGAACGTAACAATGGGAGCTCACCCCATCATGGGGATTCGAATTTGCATGCAAAAGGTCCTAGCTGAAATGCCAAGTGTCTCCAGATAGGGCTGAGAAAAACTGAAACCCTGTGTATCTGTTGCCAGTCAGTGTTGACAATAGTGAGCTAGATATATATGACTTACTAGAGGGCAGCTTCCTATGTTCCTTTAACTGAAAGATCTACAGTGAGGAGTCCCTTCAGCAGTGGGTCAGTTTATCTGCCTATTTACCAGAAGGTTGGTGATTCGAGTCCACCCAGGGATGGCTGTGAGCAGGATTCCTGTATTGCCGGGGGTTGGATTGGATGACATGGGGTTACTTCCAACTCTACAGTTTTATGATTCTATGAATACTACTAAGACTGCAATAATATACATACTTACCTGGGAGTAAGTCACACTTAACAGGACTGTTAGATTAGTCATATTCATATGCCAGTTACTTCTTTGCAGGGCTATTTTTCAGCTGGAACTCACCAGTACTCAGTTCCAGTGCCATTATAAGAGAACAAGGGTGAGTTCCAGCACCTCTTTTCCTATAAAAAATAGAACTGCTTCTTTGTTTAATATCCTATTGGTGTTACTTGGAGCCATGTTCATGCAACCATAACCATGATTATGAATTTGTGGAGATGGGAGTAGGATTGTGCCTTTATTACTTGGAAAGTTTGGCATAGACATGAAATTGCTATACAGTGGTACCTTGGGTTAAGTACTTAATTCGTTCCGGAGGTCTGTTCTTAACCTGAAACTGTTCTTAACCTGAAGCACCACTTTAGATAATGGGGCCTCCTGCTGTCGCCGCGCTGCTGGAGCACAATTTCTGTTCTCATCCTGAAGCAAAGTTCTTAACCTGAAGTACTATTTCTGGGTTAGCGGAGTCTGTAACCTGAAGCGTTTGTAACCTGAAGCGTATGTAACCCAAGGTACCACTGTATATCTGGAGACCCTGCATTTTGTAGAGTTCCTGATCACACTGCAGAGCCAACATGCCTACGTTTATATGCGCTAGTATTCAACTAAGTTATAGTCAGAGTAGACCCACTGAAATGAATGAACATGACTAAGTTAGGTCCATTAATTTCAATGGCTCTACTCTGTGTAAAACTTAGTTGAATACTACCCAAGCAGATTCGGGGCGGAATTCAATGCAGCACTAAGGAGATAATTCCATCAGCACAAGCATTTCTGTTTGTCTGGTGGAAAAAATCTCTACTTCCCCTGCCACATGTTCTCCTGATCCTCCAGAGTGTATTGCAATGGTATGTGATTCTGATTATTCCTTCAAATATTCCTATCCAGAAATGTGGTCACATGAACTAGAGAGAGTAGGCTAGTGCTCAGAGAGGCTACATAGGACTTTACAAGTTTTTATTATTATTATATATATATAAAAAATGTCCTTTGAATTAGGTCTCAAAACCAATAGCAAGGCAGTGAAGACCTTTCAGCGCTGGCAATACCTGATCAGCATGATGGTCTAAGTTCAGCTGGTCACACTGCTCTGAACTAGTTGAAGTTTCCAAAGAAATTTCCTAGGCAGCCCTATTTATTTGTATGAGAGTAAAACAAAAAACCCAGAGAATCCTGGATGTTTTCAAGATTAATTGTGGCAAGATTATGTTAGCATACAAACTGCAGATGCAGCTAAACTGGGCATCCATTATGATGGTTACAAACACCAGCAATCTGTAACTGAGGCTGTGTGCACATTACCAGTGTAAGACGCAGACTCTGCATTTCTATCACATTTGCACGTATGTGTTTCCCAATTGTCCAATGCCTGGTGGGTGGAGAAGGGGTCTGGATGCCTTTGTATGGATTGCATTTTCAAGCATTTTGCCCCAAACCAGGTTTGATTAAAGGGTGTGTGTGTGTGTGTGACCTAGTTGCATTTTTAGCCAGCAGTGTGTCTAGAGATGTTTGGGGAGGATAAATTAGCAGTAATTGTAACAAGTAGCCCCATCCCTGTATGCTATAAATATTAGGAATCTTTACATATATTTGATCTTAATAGTGATCTTGTATTGAGACTGTGTTCTGATCTATTTCACTTTCACTGTAATTGCATTTGTTGTCGTCAATTACAGTAAGCCCACAACTTATGTGAGGGTTAATATTCTGGGGATTGTGCCTAAAGCCAAAATTGTGTACTGTCAAGAGTCAAGACACATTGGTTGCCAAAGTCTTTTTCCCAGATGCCTACTCGCCCCCCAAAGGAGGGGGGACCAAGTGTGTAAAGCTGAATATGCACAAGTTATATGTGTGTAACTTGCGGGCTTACTGTACTAAATTTTCCAATAGGTCTGCTGGTCTTGTGACTTGAAATTGAAACAAACTTCCCTGTAACCTGTGCAGCTGCCAGCTGGTAAATTAGGAATAACTTTGCTAAATCTTAAATTGCTAACTGTAACCCTAGATGTAAATCCTACAGAATGAGACTTATGTGGATACAGGCTCATAGCTAAATAGCTTATAGCTGCAATGCTGTAAACACTCATCTAGAAGCAGATGCATTGTGCATCTAAATTTAGCACTGCAGGATTTTACAGCTATCCAGTTTCTTGAGTTTTCTAATAATTCATCTTTTAAAGGGCTAACATATATTATGATAGGCCAGAGCAGGACACAACCCTTACTTTCCAGTTCCTTTTTGTTCTTGTCTAGTTAATCCAGCAAAAAAAATAGCCTGTTTTGTTAGGCTTCAAATAAAATGAAAAGTTATTTGTATTTTTATATAAAAGGTTTGCTCACCTAACTTTCAATTAATTACTTTTGCCAGTAAGTTAAGCAGGTGTCTAAGATTATCAAATAGTGCAGGATAACTCTCAGATATACTATTTAGCCTTAAAAGATTGGCAATATGAAATTCATTAAACACCCACGACGTCAAATTTTTAATATTTTGGCAGTTTCCAGAAGGGAAGCTGTGAGAGTCTCTTGCAGTGAAAACAAAGAGTATTGTGGACCCTTAAAAACTTACAATTTCCCCCCATAATAAATGTGTGCCTTTAGAGTTCTACAAAAGCCAATGCTATACTATATTTTGGCAGATTTAAGTTCGTAAGTGTTTGCGTGCATGTTAATTCTCCTATATTCTCAACGAGCTTTGACTACAACGGAAGTTCCTTTCGAAACCGAGTCGCCATCTCTTTGTTACGTTTCAGTGCTGGGCTGGGGCCAAGTCAGAATCTTGTCACCATGGTAACCCAGAAGCCGAAATTCCGAAGGGGGGCCTGAAATTGCAGTCGCATTTGAATGACCTCATAGAATTCTACCAACGTAAACAAGTCGGTTTCACTGCCTTTCACCACTTGTGCTTTAGCGGCGTGGGGCCGGCCTATGAGTAGGCAGGGTTTTCATAATATTCATCGGGCACAGGAAACATGGTTTTACCCGTCTGTTGCGAATCCTTCCGTACTACTTTTACTCATGTAGCGCAGGCGCGACATTGGACAGCTCGCACGTGGGGGCCTTTTCTCCCGTTGCAAACTCGTCGCAGATAATAGGCTTTTAAGTTTAAGCCATTGAACTTGGAAACCCGGCGGCTACGGCCCGCTAAAAAGGAAGGCCCCTCCCCTCCCGCCGTTTCATTGGTTGTGTCTTTCGGGGAAGGGCACGTGACCCTCCTCGGATGTTTGGCGTCCACTCCGTGTGGGAGGCTGTAGGAGGGAAGTGGATGGCGCTGCCATCAGTTCACAAGTGCCTCCAAGTGAGTGACGGAAAGTGGCACCCCGAGCGGCTTCTGTCAGTGTCTAGAGAGACGCATCCGGTTCACCTGAAGGCGGTGGCAGCTGGGCAGCTCCCGCTGTCTCACCGCATCTTCTGCCCTTGTTCCAAACACACAACAGCCTCTCTTGTCCATTGAGGTCCTCTGCAAATTTCCTTCTTACTGCCGCACCCCGTCCACCCCGTGTTATCTGCAGCGAGAGCCATTTGGGTTGTAGTATCTCACTTTAGGAATAATAATAATAATAGTAATAATTTATTATTTATACGCCGCCCATCTGGCTGGGTTTCCCCAGCCACTCTGGTCGGCTTCCAACAAAACACTAAAATACAATAACCTATTAAACATAGGAATTCCCTCTAAATGTTTTCCTGGTGCCAATTTTAGTTTTCTTTTTGGTGTTGGGCGACAGGCAAAGAACTTTCTATTCTAGGTTAGGTTTTGCAAATATTTTGATTAAAGGGAGAACGTCCTTAAAGAAGGAAAGCTAAAGTAGGATGTTTTACACAGTGAGAACTATTCCATTGCACTAGTTAACTAACTGCATCTGTTCCTAACATAAGAAACATTTTTTCCTTCCCTTTTCCAGCTCCATCAAGAAAATCAGTTGTTGCTTAAAAAGCTGAGGCATGTACGCCTAAAAAACAAGCAGTTGGAATACGATTGGGCACAGTTACAAGAACAACTGCAAGGGCAAAAGAAGTTACTGCCTACTTGTGTCACAAAGAAAGAGTAAGACTATATCTTTGCTCCTTAGATGTCCATGTTCCCAGCTAAAGATTGGGTTTAGACCCAGCCAGCATATCCAATGGCCAGGGGGTGATGGGATCTATGGTTTGACAAACCCTTGGTCAGGGAGAGCACAGGTTGTAGTTTGCTGTGCATCAGGTTTGAAGTAAGGTTGCACTATGCAGCCTGGGAAATAATTTTAAACACTCTTCAAAATATTTAAATTTGAGTTTTGGGAGTGTTCATATGATGACTCATGAAAAAGGATGTTTCTGGATAGATGGATTTATACTTTTCTCTTGAAGGATAAATATTGAACATTAATTCCTCTTCTTGACTCATTAGATTTTTGGGGATGATTAGACAGATATTGTCTCCCATGTGCAGCCATGCTCTGTAAATTGTGCTGGGTCTTCAAATAGCTCATTATATACTTCCACAGACTTCATAGCTTTCTAATGTACCTAATGCAGACAGCCATGAGATATTATAGGAAAGCTGACTTAAGAAGCAGTCAGAATCCATAATTGCTCTTATGGTAATATTTGATGTAGTACTTTAGGTAATATTTGCACAGTTTTTACATTAAAGTACTCCTAAAGCAAGCCTGTGTGAGTTGAAGACATTGAACAAGGATTATGTTAACAGTAGTAGTTTATATATAATAATAAAAATATGGGGCAAGTAAATTTACCATTGAATGAATTACTTATTCATTGTCTGAAAATGTGATATATTAATGCTTTTTAAGAGGTGGAAATATTATTTTTTCTGAAAAAAATATTTGTCTGAGCAAAAAGAAACCCATTTCACCAAATGTAAATCTTGACTGTCCAGCTGAAAAAAATTAATGAACATATATATTCAGTTCCTCCCATATACATTTATATCTCATCTTTTTCCAGTCATACCCCAAAGCAGTGTACATATGGTTCCTAGGGTGTCTCCTATACAGGTACTTGCCAGACCTAGACCTGCTTAGCCTCAGCAAACTGATAGCCTTCATACCATGTTCTGATGTGCATGTGCCTTTAGACCATGTGACCATGTTCTATGATCAATGATAATGTACTTTTTTGAACTTCCGTTATCTCACTGCTGTTTTTCCTAATATATCCAGATGATAAAAATCAAAATACAAGTATGTAGCTTTTGAGGCCACAGATTATTTTTCACATTAACGTTTTTAATTGCTTCAGAATATACAATTAAGAGAAAAATGTTCATGCTTGGGGAAGAGATTTTAAGTTATCATATTTGTTTAACTTAGTGTGCCAGTTCAAACAGAAATCCACTTACCCCTTAAAGACGATGGGTTTTATCGTAAGGAACGTGAAGGAGTAAAGGAAAATGCTAGGTAAGTTGTGCAAGTATAGTTAGATGTATCTCTGCTATGAATCTGATTCTTTGCATATTTACTTAAAACATTAGTCCACTTGTGGTCATGGAAATGTATTTCCAGTTAAGTGTGAATAGTATTGCAGCAGAGGATAAAGAAAAACAATTCCTCCTCATTTTTCTTAAATGAACTTCTGTTTTGGCATGTTACAGTTTTGTCAGTGGATTCTTTCAATTTACTGCTGTGTGAGTTACATTATTTTCTCATAATGAACAGTTAGTATCAGTTAGCAAATCTTGCTTTTGTCAGCTAGGCCATTCTAAAATTGTGTCACCAAGTCCTCAGTTAGATTCTTTTTACTCTAGATCTCACTGGGGACAGTAGGGAATTAGGGTTCCCCTTCCTGCTGCCACGGCTGTTATTGCTATAGTCTTTCTCAGATCTGTAGAGTTGGGCAGGGAGTCCTTTTCTGCTGGTCATGTCTCTAACTTCCCCATCTCAGCTTCCTTCTGCTCCATTCCCCAGCTGAGTTGTAGTCCTGGAAGTGTGGCCAGCGGTGATAGGCCAAGGGCAGCCCTGAGTTTGTTGGTTCTTCGACGCCTCTCCCGGTATACTTGCCTTTTCTCTTTTTTTTACTCACCATTGTCACCCACACCCAGCCACTCCACCTCCATAAACCTCATCTTTCACATCCTGGATTTCAATGTTTATTAAATCAAATCAAAACAAAACAAACATTTTGCATGTAGTGAATGGAATCCACCAAGTCCTGCTGCCAGATGCTGCCAGTTCTTTTCGGAGGGGTTTGAACAAGCATTTCTATATCTGTATTAGGAAAATCAGCAGTTTATTATCATTCTTGTCTGTTTGCTGTTCCAGAGTACTCCAGTTGTATCATAATCTACAGAAAAGGTATAATAAAGAATTAAAAACAAACCAAGGACAATGTGAAACCATTGCAAGACTTTCTGTAAGTTCTGGTCATATGATTTCATGTAAACTGTTACTTTAAAAGAATGCTCAAGATTTAGGGCTTGTCCACACTGGAGTTTACTGTGTGTTTTCAGCTATTTGTGTTTCCATCTAATTTGCATAGTCCTCATAACATTTCCCTCAAACAATGCCAATCTCAGTGATTCCCTACTGTAAATTAGGTTTTATCTGATATGGGGATAATACAATAAGTAGTGGGGTGTTAGGGGAGGAGTCTTCTTTAGGCTGGCATTTTAATGGCCAGGATTAGTCAAGTGTTGGATAATTAACCATAATTTAATTGGACATTTTGTTTTTATTGTGCCTTGTTTTATTTTTAACTGTTACTATAAGCTCCAAACTCTTGGGAAGCATGGGATAGACATTAGCTTTTAGCATCTGATGTAGCAAAGGTGATTTGCATAAAGAAAAAAATAAGCAAGCAGATATTTTATTTAAAACATGGCTGCAAGTTTAAGATCCTGTGGGTTAAACCACAGAGCCTAGGACTTGCCGATCAGAAAGTCGGCGGTTCGAATCCCCGTGACAGGGTGAGCTTCCATTGCTTGGTCCCTGCTCCTGTCAACCTAATAAGAATAATATAATAATAAATTTTATTTATATCCCGCCCTCCCCAGCCGAAGCCGGGCTCAGAGCGGCTAACAACAATAAAACAGTACAAAAGTACAGCACAAACAACACTCTAAAATCATTCATTATAAAATTAATTAATTCAAGCCACTGGCAACCATTGGGCCAGAGCTCCGCGAAGATTGCCGAGGGAGGGAGTCAGGCTGTGCCCTGGCCAAGGCCTGGTGGAACAGCTCTGTCTTGCAGGCCCTGCGGAAAGATGTCAAGTCCCGCAGGGCCCTGGTCTCTTGTGACAGAGTGTTCCACCAGATCGGAGCCACGGCCGAAAAGCCCTGGCTCTAGTTGAGGCCAGCCTAACTTCTCTGTGGCCTGGGACCTTCAAAATGTTTTTATTTGAAGACCGTAAGTTTCTCTGTGGGGCATACCAGGAGAGGCGGTCCCGTAGGTACGAGGGTCCTAGGCCGTATAGGGCTTTAAAGGTTAAAACCAGCACCTTAAACCTGATCCTGTATTCCACCGGGAGCCAGTGCAGCTGGTATAGCACCGGGTGAATGTGATCTCGCAGCGAAGACCCCGTAAGGAGTCTCGCTGCAGCATTATGCACCCGCTGGAGTTTCTGGGTCAGTCTCAAGGGCAGCCCCACGGAGAGCGAGTTACAATAATCCAGTCTGGAGGTGACCGTTGCGTGGATCACAGTGGCTAGGTCAGGGCGAGAGAGGTAAGGAGCCAACTGCTTAGCTTGGCGGAGATGGAAAAATGCCGCCTTTGTTGTAGCTGCAATCTGCACCTCCATGGAAAGGGAGGTGTCGAAGATTACACCCAAACTCCTAACGGACGGTGCTGGCACTAATTGTGCCCCCGCAAGAGATGGGAGTTGCCCCCCCCAATCCCATATCGTCCCGTCCCAGCCACAGGACCTCTGTCTTCGAAGGATTTAGCTTCAACCGGCTCCCACGTAACCATCCAGCCACAGCTTCCAAACATCTGGTCAGTGTGTCTGGGGCCGAGTCAGGATGGCCATCCATCAACAGATAGAGTTGGGTGTCATCAGCATACTGATGGCAACCCAGCCCAAAACTCCGGACAAGCTGGGCGAGGGGGCGCATAAAGATGTTGAAAAGCATCGGGGAGAGTATCGTATCCTGAGGTACTCCACACACCAAGGAGTGGGGCGATGACAATTCCCCCCCAAGCGCCACCCTCTGTCCCCGACCAGAGAGAAACGAGCGCAGCCATTGAAGGACTGTGCCCTGGATCCCCACGTCGGCAAGGCGGTGGTCCAGAAGTTCGTGATCGACCATGTTGAAAGCTGCTGACAGATCTAGAAGAATCAGCAGCCCCGACCCACCTTGATCCAGCTGTCTACGAAGATCATCTGTTAGGGCAACCAGAGCCGTCTCGGTCCCATGACCAGCGCGGAAGCCGGACTGGGATGGATCCAGAGCCGATGGACCTAGAAGTTCGAAAGCACCTCAAAGTGCAAGTAGATAAATAGGTACCGCTCCGGCAGGAAGGTAAACAGCGTTTCCGTGTGCTGCTCTGGTTCGCCAGAAGTGGCTTAGTCATGCTGGCCACATGACCCGGAAGCTGTATGCCAGCTCCCAGCCAATAAAGCGAGATGAGCGCCGCAACCCCAGAGTCGGCCATGACTGGACCTAATGGTCAGGGGTCCCTTTATCTTTTTTTTTAATGGATGAAAGGCATTGTGTTTAGTGTTTGGACTTGCTTGCATAGTGCATTTATTGGATTGGAGCTGCTTGCACCCGTGCCAACAGATGAGTGTAGCTGACAGCCCTGAAGACGCTTGTAAAAGTTCAGATAACTGACACAAAATGAACAATATGCAATGTATGACATGTTGCAGGCATAGATTGAGTCAATAATATTTCTCATTTCCATCTCACACTTGCATCTTTTGATTTTGATGGGAATCTGTCTCCTTTTCTCTCATTTTTGTTGCTAGCTTCTGATGCCAATAAAGTTTAGTAAAGTGTGTAAAGTGTGCTTCCAAGGATGCTAGATACAATATTAATTTAAATGCTTATTACAAATACTCTATTTTATCATAGATTAAAATTAATGATATGGAACACCAACTTCACTTAGCAAACCAAAAGATGAAGGAGCTGGAAAGTAAAAAGATGTTACCAAAGGACAAAACTGATCCACTACAGAAAAAAAATGGGTCTTACAAATGTGTGTGTAAAAAGAAGGGGAGCTGTTCTTGCAAATATTTAGGTAAACATATACTTTGTTATCATGTTTCTTCGGCATGTTATGTCTGAATAAAGTTATTAAAATTATAACTGAAACAGTATCAACAATATCCATGGAGGTTTCTAGCTAGCTGGGTTAAATTCCAATACTTTCTTTGATACAGGGTGTTATTAGAAAAGAAAATTGCCTGAAGATATAAGCATATTTTTAAAATTATGAATATGTTACATGATTTTATCTTTTAGTGAGCTCCTAATGGTTTTTATTGTACTATAGACCAACTGCTTTTTGAGATTCAGCGTCTGAAGATGGAAAATGAATCATTATCTAAAGAAAGAAGAATGTTGAGAAATGAGCTTGCTGCGTTAGATAAGGTAACTTTATCATTACTTATTGCACATTTATATCATCTTTCTGCCTAAACATCCAAGGTGATTTAGTTTTCAAATACTAAAACAAATAAATGTTATAAAATGTAAAGTGGGGGAGAAGGGACAATCCGACTGGACAGGTCGCAGGATAGGGGCAGTCCAACAGTTTAGGTTTAATAAATGAGCAGTTGAGGTAATTTCTTTGACTGGTCTTTTTGAGTGTACAAAAAAACACACACCCCAAACCAACTGAGAAATTAACTTAAAAAATCTGTAATCAAGCCTTCAGTACCACACTGTGAACTTGTCCAGAAGATAAGCCCTCTAATTACTTGTTGTATAGGATTTGGCACACATTGCAGTTCACAAAATCTTCCATAGATTAGAATCTTGCATCTGTTAGATGTTGAGAGGAGTAATATTCCAATCAAATTAAAATTTGGACTTTTCATTAGCAAATCATGAGTTCTTGTAAAACTTTTTTTTAAAAAAAGATGGTTTGTTTCCTATAAGACTATTTCAGTGATGAATACAAGAATGGACAAACTAGAAAGTAGTACTTAATTAAAATACTGTGTGTGGTATTACTTTTTAGGATTTTTTTGATGAAATAGAAGATCTAAAATATGCACTTCAAGAAGCCATAAAACTTAATACTCAATATGAAAAGTGTTTGAAACAACTAAGTTCAACATATGGAATCACTTTTACATCAACTTTAACAGCTGGTAGCCATCGTGGAACTTTAAATAAATCGTGGAAATAAAATGTTCAACCAAGATTATGAATAAACAGTTTAATATTGACTGTACTTTGTAATATTAACTTGCTTATGAGGAAGGCACTTATTTTGCAATAAAATCATGACTTTGACCAATTTTTAATCCTTTGCATAATTTGTGCAGTGCCTTTCTGCCTTTCTGCCATTTTTAATAAGTTATTTCTCGGTTTTGGATGTAGCACTAACTTTGGTTTAGCATTATATGACTGTACCTGCATGAACTTTGTTCTTGAAAACCCCGGTCCCCTCTCTCTCTGTAGTATGTGACAGAGGTCAGAAGCATTCAGTTTTAATTTGAACAAACAACAGGTCCTCATTATACCCCAGGGTGCGTCATTGTGGTTAGTTCAAACAAATCATGATGAAACTGATATATTATTATTAATTACATTTATTAGATGCCTTTTCCCATCACAAGCAACTCAAGGCATTTTTACAAAAACAAAACAACAAACACAACACATTCATTAAAATTAAGCTCGGGTGGGGGTGGAGAAACAAAAACACAATCCTTGTATACTCATTAACTATAGTTCTCCCACCAAACTCCCAACAATACTTCTGGGGCAAGGTATTTCATAATCTGGGCATGGGCAAGGTATTTCATAATCTGGGCATGGCCATTCCTGGCCAATTGCGCCTCCACTGCAAGTGGTAAAGCGTAAAGGGACCCCTGACCGTTAGGTCCAGTTGTGGCCGACTCTGGAGTTGTGGCGCTCATCTCGCTTTATTGGCCAAGGGAGCCGGCGTATAGCTTCTGAGTCATGTGGCCAGCATGACTAAGCCGCTTCTGGCGAACCAGAGCAGTGCACGGAAACGCCGTTTAACTTCCCGCCGGAGCGGTACCTATTTATCTACCTGCACTTGATGTGCTTTCAAACTGCTAGCTGGGCAGGAGCTGGGACCGAGCAATGGGAGCAAACCCCATCGCGGGGATTCGAACCACTGACCTTCTGATCGGCAAGTCCTAGGCTCTGTGGTTTAACCCACAGCACCACCCTGTAGCAGGAACCCCCCCACCCCAATCATTCAGTTTGTACAAACTTCACACACTCACACTCACACACTACATATGCCACACTTCTGTTATAAATTCATAGAAAAATCAACCATACATTGGATTTGCACTGTTCCATTTTTATTTTACTCCATATGACAAGGACTATCAAAGGGGGGTGGCTTGGTTCTGGTCAGCCATAATCCCTTCACCATCCCAGCACATCCACAGGAGCTCTGCCCAGTTGCTATGCCAACCCTGATGGTCCTAGACAGAAGACCATCAAGATCACAAAGAACTTGCATATGGGAGTGGATTCAGCATGGACTGAAACAAAGGACAATGATCAGATCTTCCCTCTGGGGGCAGGAAACTGCCAACTCCCCTTTGTCTCCTGGAAGTGACTCATGGGCCGGGGAAAGGAGGAACCAGCCAGGTGACAGGACACTCAGGTTACCACCACAACTCCTCCCTCAACCCCTCCTTTCTGTAATGTATGCATGATGTCAACCCCTCCTTTCTGTAATGTATGCATGATGTCAACCCCTCCTTTCTGTAATGTATGCATGATGTTTCTGGGGGTGGGCTTGACCTAGAGGATGGGAATTTCAAAAGGTATTATAAGGTCTTACACACCATCTTTCTGGGTCTTTCCTCTCTCCTGCAAGTGAGGGGAACACCCTGTTGCAACAGTTCAATAAAGGCCAAGCCTACAGGCTGCTGTTTTGCTCCAAGTTATCCTGGTTGGTGTCTTTGTTTTTGTCCAAGGGAGCCCTCGGATTTTTCCGGTAACAACCCAAAGGATATTTTTACTGGGTCTTAGAGGGTGAGAGGTGGTGGTCCCCAATATATCCTGCATCTGAGTCGTTTTGGGCTTCAAATGCAATCACCAACATTTTGCTTTATGCTTGAAAGGGAATCTAGTAAAAAGTACAGGGCAGGAAGAAGTACCCATTAACATGCTTGCTGCTGTATTCTGGGCGAAATGTAACTTCTGAAGACTCTTCAAAGGTAGACCTGCTGCAGTGATCCAATATGGAAAGGAGTACTTCCCCATCCAAAACCAGTTGAATCCCTATTCCAGAGTCTGTCTCACAATGAGCAGCTCTTAAATCTTGGTTAGAGTAACCTTCTGTTAAGCCACATCTTGCCACTGCATCAGGCAGCAGATCCAAGATCAAGTGGTTTCAAAGGCTCACAAGTTAAGGTGCCTGGTTGGCTTCTCTAGGGAGGGCATTCTGTAACTGGGATGCCACCGCCCAAAAAAGCCTTTTCTCCAGTAGCTACCAGTCGCTTCACACTTGGCGAGGGCCTCTGAAGAGGCTACAAAGCTTACAAGCTCTTCACAGGCAGGAAAAACACAAAACAGAGAGGTGGGAGAAAGGAATGCTGTGTGTGCATGAACTAATGAATAATGAAAATGAATAAATTTGAACGAACTACTGTTTCCTCTTGCTAAGTTAATGAAACCAACTACCCCGAGTCGCCTGCATCGCCCTTCCGCGCCCTCCGCCTCAGCTGTGCAGGGACAGCCGCCCAGGATCACCATCTCTGAGCGCGCAGCAGCCGCCATGCTCCAGCCGAGAGCGACGCGGCGGCCAATCAAACTGCTGCCTCAGCGGCGCCAATGAGAGGCGCGCAAGGCTGGAGAACGAGGCGATTCAGGAAGCGCGGCATCCAATAGCAAGTGCTTCGGTCGCTTTCCTGACCTCCGGAGTGGGAGCTCTTCGCCGTTCCACGGATGCCGCAGGAAGCGCCGCTCCAGACGTGCGGGGGACACGTGCAAAGCGGCGGGGAGTTTCTCCGTCCTCCGTCATTGCACGCGGGGAGCCTCGCTCCGCTCCTGGCGGGAGTTTCCTCTCAGGGGTGAGTAGCAGCAGCTGCAGCAGCAGCAGTAGCACCACCTTGAAGCGGGTTGTTTATTGTGAGAGGAAAGAGGTTTGGCTTCCGCCTTCGGTAGTTTCCCCTTAGAAATGCCTCCTCTTCTGCAGGAGAAAATTATACAAGCCTGGCTTTATTCTGCCTCTTTGACCTTTTCCCAGGTCTACCAAAAAGAAATATTATTTTGGGGGCTTTCCTTCCTCCTTGGCGGTAGGAGGGTCATTGTAATAGAGGCGGGCTCGTTTTATGATGCCGTTTACTCAGTACCTGGGAGATGCTTGCAAAGTAGTCGGGTGGTTCTTAAAAGCTGATAAAAATTGCAAGTCGCCTCGCTGATCCATTAGGTAAAATTAAACATCGTTATCTCTCTGTTTCCATCCAAATACAGCCAATGTATAATGTCTTTGTTACAACCAACTAAAAACGGGTCACAACAATAGCGAGCAAGCTTTTGAGTTGAGCAGAGCTCTTCGCTCTTCGCTCTTGGAGGTTCCACACACAAAATGGCGAGGGAAAAGATGCATCATTCCATGGCTTTCACCTGAACTTTGCTGTTGCTTCGTGTTAGCTCGATTGTTACCAAAGGGGCTCACTGGGTGAACTGCAGAAATAAATATAAATTATTGGTATAATTGCAAACAGAAGCGTTTTCAAATTAAGGCAGGTAGCTGTGTTGGTCTGACGCAGTTGGGGGAGAAAAAAATCTTGTCCAGTAGCACCTTGGAGACCAACTAAGTTTGTTCTGGGTATAAGCTTTTGTCTGCCTGCACACTTCTTTGTTTGCACACGAAAGCTTATACCCAGAACAAACTTAGTTGGTCTCCAAGGTGCTACTGGACAATTTTATTTATTTCAGAAGCGTTTTCATCACACGCAGGAACATCTTTGCTCTCCCCTGCACTTTTGCTCTCCCCTGTAACGTTGCTTGGAAGAAAATTCTGGTGAACTCAAAGGCTTGCTTTGCTACTTGATGACATGTTAGTTGGTCCTAAGGAATATATTATACTATTGTTGACTTAGAGTAATATTTATAGAAAGCTTTAGAAGGTATTATGCTACTTAAGTAATTCTTACACCAGTCCTGTAAATTAGATCACTTTTATCAACATTCTCACATTGTGTTTTGGAGCCTAGAGGAAGCAGCTTGGATCACTTACTGAATTCATAGTATTTATTTTTTTCTGTCTTCTGCAGGATTCCTGTCTGATGTGAAGAACAAAAATTGAAACACACATTTGGTTTGGTTTACTGGCCTCAGTAGGTGGATATTGGTACCATCTGTGGGGAGAAAGATCTGCCTGTAGGCTGATATGGCACTTTTGCACTTTAGGATCCCAAACAGTTTTTTGGAGAAGAGAGGAGGCACTTTTGCACTGAAGCTTTTGTGTTTTACTCTTTCTGTGTTCATTTTCTGTGAATTTTTTATTTATTACGTAGTTATAATTCAGTGTCACTGGCCGCAATTGAAAGCTCAGGCTCCAAGGGCTACTGAAAAGACTTCCAATTCTGTCTTGAAGGCTATGTTTTTATCAGATACTCATTTACTAGGTGAACTCAGTGGTCACTGGCTGGACAAGCTGAGAAGGTAAGAACTAAATATCAGTAACAGGCAGCAATTTATTGTAAACATATATTTTCCAGTTGGCCTCTGCATGCATGAAAACCAGGGTTATGAACCACTAAATACCTGTGACTTGTTGATTATTTACATGCTAAACCATTCATTCATGTTTGAATATTGCCAAAACTTTAGTATATATCTATTGAAAGAAGTGGATATTTTTTTTTACAATTTGATAATCATAAGCTATTACTCATTGTTTGAAGGAATCATTATTCTTAATATTTTCTGATTCACTGCATGTTGCTGTAACACACCAGAACCAAAATAACATAAAAAGCGCAGGTATTCTGAAATGGTTTTAATGAGTTTTATACTGTTATCAGAAGACTGTCTTAAATTTGAGAATCCAGAATTGTTCTTATGGTAATATTTGAAGTAAAACTCATTTTGCATTTCTTAGGCTCTGCAACCTTTTGGGGAGCGCAGTGCAGACTGTAGCACGGGGTTAAGTTGAGCTGGTATAAAGCATGCTAGATCCAAACTGTTCAAGAAGAAGCCAGGGGTATTGCTGGCTGAGCTGGCCTGAGGCTGGCAAAGGGGAAACAAGCCTTTAAAATAGAGTTTGACTTATACCTTCTTGCTGGCATAAGTTTCACTGGGTTGCCAGGACACATGACTGAACTCAACAGAGTTATAATTCAGCATAAGCCCCTTCCCCCATTTCACCTCTCCTGGAATGGCAGAAGTTCTACTGGTTTCAGTTAGCCCTGTATTAGTTGGGATGAGGGAGTTATGCCACCATATTTCCAGTTGAGCCTCTTATACTAGTGTAGTCTGACTGAGCTGGGAACTTGCTGGCTGAGCCAAAGGTCTGCCATGTTCTAACTTGCTCATTCTGGCGGATCTAAGGTTCGGGTTGCATCCTAATTGAAACTATTTTTAATACAAGATGTGCTGTGATATAATAATAATAGTGAAGTCTTTCATCAGCCTATTTCTAAAGCTTCTTTATTTGGGCTGGTCGTATAAACATGGATAAAAGAATGGAAATCCCCTTGGTACCAAAAATCGTTCAAAGTCTTACCAATTAAAATTGGTTCCCAACTGATGGAATGGTAATATCCTGACTATTGCTAGGCTAAAATATAGTCTTTAGAGTTCACACAAATAGTTCATGTTCATTCACTGTGTTAGAGGAGGTAATGACTGGGTGTAGCCAGGCTTGATGGTTATTTGATCTCATGATGGCAAATTACGCACTTCCAGTATTCTACATCTCTCTGTGTGTAGGAAAACTTGGCTAAAGCAGTGTTGTTATTTTTTTGCTATCAAGCTGACCAGATACCTTCTTTGCTTCAGTCCAAGTAAAAAGGAATAAAAAGTGCACAAATTGAAATTGCAAAATTTCAGCCTCTGAGTTTTAAAATAAATTATGCTGACACAAAGGTCAGAGGCGGATTTAGCGGTGAGGCACCTCAGGGGAATGGAAGGTGAGAGGTGGTGGTGATGGGAAATTTTAGCGTCACACAGGGCACCACTGAAATTTGAGACCCCCATGGTCTGCCACTGCAAAGGTTCAACCTAATGGTTAGAAAACTCAGTAGAAATGTATGTAAAATAATCCATATTTAAACTTGCATCACTTGGAAATTACTTTTAGAAGCCTTTTGTTGTTGCTTACATAATAGTTATATACGAAACCCACTGACCACTAACCTGTACATATTTCTAGCTTTCATTCAGAAGGATCACAAAATCTGTTACTTACAGTCATGCCCTGCAATACAACCACATCTCTTTAGACTTGTAGGATGAAGACTCATAATTAAAACATTTACCTTAGGAAAACCTCAGACTCTAATACCCACCCAGTATAGTGGAGACAAAACAAAGCAAAGCAGGTCAACATGGCCAGATTGGTACAAGTGCTTATAATATTCACTTAAGTACGTTGAACTGAAACCCCTTTTTATTCTCTTAGGGAATGGCAGATGGAGAGAGCCTTCCAAACTGCTCTCTGGCTTCTGCAGCCAGAAATAGTCTTTATCCTGGGTGATATCTTTGATGAAGGGAAGTGGAGTTCTTCCCAGGTTGGTATTGTGTGAAACATTAAAGTGTTCATGAAGCAAAATAGGATTTCATTGAAAGTGTTTTGCACAAAAGAATGAGACCAGGAAACTAATATAGTTCTTTTAAAGTTTAGTTGTTCAGTCATCTTTGCTAACCGGTATCCTGATCAGTAGCAATTAAGTTAAAGAACTTGGAAGTCATTGGGCTCTAAATTCTGCTTTACTAGGTAGCACATTGGATTATGTAGTTCCTACAGGCATATTTGACAACTACCAGGCAGTTGCTTCAGTGCTTTTAGGAGAGTTCTGTTAACACAGATATGTTATGCTTTTTTTGCCAGCAGTTCCTAGTGCTTAATTTAAGATGAGGTGAGAGATGCATCAATAATATGTAGGCATTCATCAGCTAGCAGTAAGCTACACATGGGATTGGTACAAAGATTTTCTGTCCATAGCAAAAACGAGTGAGGAAAACCTAGATTGAACATTGGAAACTTCTTACCCATAGGTCAAATTAGACCCACTAAAGTTCCTAATTTGGCCCACAGGGCCGTTTTAGCTAACTATGACCACCTGTGTGTCACATTTGGATTTGACCCACCAGATGAAAGTGCTTCCCCACTCCTGACCTAGATAGGGGCTATTTGAAAATGTATCTGCATAGGTTTTGTTGTTGTTGTTGTTTTTGCTATTGTCAAGTTAAAACTAGGTGAATGTGCTGAGTAGATTATTTTTGTGTGCGTGTTAAAAGCTGAGGGTGGAATTAAACATTGCCCTATTCCATCTATGCAAGTATTCCAGTTTGCCAGATGGAATGAAAGTCCCCTGCACTGTTCTGGGGGTTCCCCCCGCCAGCCCCAGGGCCAATTTTGTAATATTGGAAGCCCTTGTGCAGGTCTTGTGAAAGGGGTCTTTAGGTGAATCCCACCTTTGATTTCCACTCAGCACATTATTTAGAATGCTGCAGCTGTAGGAATAATAATAATAATAATAATATTCTTCCCATCTGCCTGCATTGCCCTGGTCACTCTGGGCGGCTCTCAACAAAACATTAAAAACACAATAAAACATTAACCATTAAAATCTTCACTGAACAGGGCTGCCTTCAGATGTCTTCTAAAAGTCAAATAGTTGTTTATCTGTTTGACATCTGATGGGAGGGTGTTCCACAGGGTGGGCGCTGTAGTTTCACATGTTGCAGTGGAGGAACCACCAGAAGGCCCTCGGAGCTGGACCTCAGTGTCCGGGCTGGACAATGGAGGTGGAGATGCTTCTTCAGGTATACAGAGTATTGGTTTAGTGAGTCACATGACTGATTTAGCATGCACAGAGACTCTGAAAATCAATTTATGTTGACTTAAGCAGTTAAGGATTGTGAGAATCTATCCTTTGTCAATATTGACCAGGGCTATCGACTGTCTGGCTCCGAAGCGCCCTCTCCGATTGCATGGAGCCCGGACAGCCCCGTGGTTTACTTCAGAGCTGAGGGCGATGAAACAATCGCTGAGACGGCTAGAGCGTCGATGGCAGAAAACTCACTCCGAATCTGACCGGACACAGGTTAGAGCTCAATGTCGAGCCTACCAAGTGGCGATAGCGACGGCGAAGAAGACTTTCTTCACCGCCTCTATTGCATCTGCAGAAAATAGTAGCAGGAGACTCTTTCAGGTGGTCCGCAATTTAATGGAACCACCTTTACCACCGGGGTCTTGTAAAGACCCCAAGATCTCCTGCAACGATTTTGCAAAGTTTTTTGCAGATGAAATCACTCGTATTCAGAAGGAGCTAGACACCACCGTGGGAGCAGGGCTGGGGCGGGAGAGTGCTAGAGCCCTGTCTGGTCAAGTTGCATGGAATCAGATCTCCTGCAACGATTTTGCAAAGTTTTTTGCAGATAAAATCACTCATATCAGAAGGAGCTAGACACCACCGTGGGAGCAGGGCTGGGGCGGGAGAGAGCTGGAGCCCTGTCTGGTCAACTTGCATGGAATCAATTTCAATCCATTACCCCCGAGGATGTGGACAGGCTGCTTGGACGCGTGAAACCAACCACCTGTCTCCTTGATCCTTGCCCATCCTGGCTAATAAAAGCAAGCCGGGAAGGGCTGGGCGATGGGCTCTGCGGGGTGGTGAATGCTTCCCTCTGTGAGGGAACATTCCCAGATCCACTGAAAGAGGCAGTTATTAAACCGCTTCTTAAAAAACCATCTTTAGACCCGGCCAGTATGGCCAACTATCGCCCAGTTTCAAATCTTCCATTCTTGGGCAAGGTGATTGAGCGAGTGGTTGCTGAACAACTCCAGGCACTCCTGGAGGATGCGGACCATTTGGATCCCTTCCAATCGGGATTCAGGCCTCATCATGGGACTGAAACTGCCTTGGTCGCGCTGGTTGATGATCTCCGGCGAGCTAGGGACAAAGGTGAGAGTTGTTTCCTAGTTCTGCTGGATCTCTCAGCGGCCTTTGATACAATCGACCATAACATCCTTCTGGACCGTCTAGAGGGGCTGGGAGCTGGGGGCACTGTTATACAGTGGTTTCACTCCTTCCTCCTGGGCCGTGTTCAGAAAGTGGTGGTGGGGGATGAGTGTTTAGACCCCTGGGCCCTCACTTGTGGGGTGCCTCAGGGTTCCGTCCTCTCCCCCATGCTTTTTAACATCTATATGAAGCCGCTCGGAGAGATCATCAGGGGTTTTGGACTGGGTGTCTATCAATATGCAGATGATACCCAGCTCTACCTCTCTTTCAAATCAGAACCAGTGAAGGCGGTGAAGGTCCTGTGTGAGTGCCTGGAGGCGGTTGGAGGATGGATGGCGGCTAATGGATTGGAGTTGAATCCTGACAAGACAGAAGTACTGTTTTTGGGGGACAGTAGACAGCTGGTAGACAGCTGGTGTGGAAGACTCCCTGGTCCTGAATGGGGTAACTGTGCCCCTGAAGGACCAGGTGCGCAGCCTGGGAGTCATTTTGGACTCACAGCTGTCCATGGAGGCGCAGGTCAATTCTGTATCCAGGGCAGCTGTCTACCAACTCCACCTGGTACGCAGGCTGAGACCCTACCTGCCCGTGGACTGTCTTGCCAGAGTGGTGCATGCTCTAGTTATCTCCCGCTTGGACTACTGCAATGCGCTCTACGTGGGGCTACCTTTGAAGGTGACCCGGAAACTACAACTAATGCAGAATGCGGCAGCTAGACTGGTGACTGGGGGCGGCCGCCGAGACCACATAACACCGGTCTTGAAAGACCTACATTGGCTCCCAGTATGTTTCCGAGCACAATTCAAAGTGCTGGTGTTGACCTTTAAAGCCCTAAACGGCCTCGGCCCAGTATACCTGAAGGAGCGTCTCCACCCCCATCATTCTGCCCGGACGCTGAGGTCCAGCGCCGAGGGCCTTCTGGCGGTTCCCTCATTGCGAGAAGCAAAGGTACAGGGAACCAGGCAGAGGGCCTTCTCGGTAGTGGCGCCCGCCCTGTGGCACACCCTCCCATCAGATGTCAAAGCGATAAACAACTACCTGACATTCAGAAAACATCTTAAGGCAGCCCTGTTCAGGGAAGTTTTTAATGAGTGATATTTTAGTGTATTTTTGGTTTCTGTGGAAGCCGCCCAGAGTGGCTGGGGAAACCCAGCCAGATGGGCGGGGTACAAATAATAAATTATTATTATTATTATTAGTGTCCAGTTAGTCAGTACTCTTATTAGTGCCCAATTAGTCAAACCCTTACTCAGAGTCATGGAAAAAGAAATGTGATGCTATATATTGATAAATATTACTGAGTTACTGATTTTTATTTTTTTTAAATATAAGTGGGGTGGGGAGTCTCTGGCATTCAGGAAAAACAAGATGCTCTAGGCACTTCATGGTCCAAGAGGCCATTTCCCCCAGGCCATGTTCCCCTGACCCTCACCTGGCATCAAATGATGGATGTAGGACGGGTGGAGATGTGGCTGCAAAAAGCAGGACTCAATTCTTCATGCATCGACTGATGTGTGGGGAGTTCAGTATTGCTTATGAATATTTCCATGGGCCAACTTTGACAGATGGGTGAGGTGGTCTGCCTGTCAAGCACATGACCTCAGATGATTGACATGTGGATGTTCCTGCCCATGTCAAAGTTGCCCTGCTGGGGTTGAGGAGAGAAAGATTTGCCCCAGTGTTCACATTACTTTGATTTATTTATGTGGGCTTAAATGCATTGTTGCAGGTCACTTATTTGCAGTATTAATGCTGAACAACCACAATATGCTTTTAATCAGCTCATGGTAACAGTAATGACATATGGCTGTTACTGACAGTAGAAATATGGGGCAAACTGCAATAACTAATGATAGTGATGAAAAATTTAATAGTTATTTAAATTGGATTATATACAGTTAGAACCTTTACATTTTCCTGCAGGCCTGGTCAGATGATGTAAGACGCTATCAGAAAATGTTTAGGCATCCAGCCTCTGTTGAGCTAATTGCTATTGTTGGCAACCACGACATTGGCTTTCATTATGAGTGAGTAATTTTTTTTTAACAGCATGCAGTACTGAGATGGGAATTGTCAAAATGAGAAGAACATTCCATTATAAATCTAAATGCTTTAAGATAGGTTTGAATCTATGGTGGGGGGACATATTTCTTGGACGCATGCAAAATCATACTGAGTGTTGCTTTGTCCCTTCTTCTGCCTGTGCACATAGAGGGCTGGAGGAGCTTTGCTCCATATTCAGTGTTAACATGCTTCAATCTGTTGGGAGCAAGAAGTGTGCCATGTACAGTGGTACCTTGGGTTACAGACGCTTCAGGTTACGCGATTTCGGGTTGCACACCGCGCCGAACCCGGAAGTACCGGAACAGGTTACTTCTGGGTTTCGGCGCATGCGCAGAAGTGCTAAATTGTGCTATGCACAGAAGCGCCAAATTGCGACCCGCACGTGCGCAGCCGTGTCGGTGCTGGTTGCAAATGTGCCTCCCGCACGGATCACGTTTGCAACCCGAGGTTCCACTGTAGTACTTTACACAACACTGAAGTCAAGTGTTAGATACATACCATTATATGCAGCTGCTGTGGACTTAAGTTGTAGTATTGCAAATTTACTTTAAAAACGTTTTTGAGGGAAGCTTCAATCCACTTCCAGCTAATGCACCACTTCTTCTTTTAATGCACTTCTGAAGTGATGCTTCCTGTTTTGTTGTTCTGCAGCAGCTCCATTGCTGCAGGTTGACTATAAACATGGAGCATTAGCCTGGTTGCCGGGTCAGTGGAGAAATGTTTTGCCCCTTTCAAGAATTCCCCAAATGTCAAAAAATTAAGGATAAGGGGAGTGGAAATGAGTGCAAAACCTTTTAACCCAGCTGTATTGTGGACATCAAGGCTTCACCTAGAGTGATAACCACTTTTGCCTAAAAAGATTCTCTTTTCAGCATCAGATTCTGTGTTACTAGCTGTTCACACTCTCAGTTCATTGCCTGTTTTCTTTTGAGGACAGGTTTTAATACTGAGCTGTCTTTAACTGCCATATACTACAAGCAGCTAGATCAGGAATGCATAGGTCCCGTCCACCCCCGCTCCATAGAAGTGAATTTATTTACTTCAAGAAGGAAGTGATTTGAGCCCTGACTTGTCTGACATCCAGGAACTGGCAGATAAATGGAAGAATGCAACAGCAGGACCATGTGTATGAAAGTCTCTCAAAGGAAAAATGTGAGAAATGAAAAAGAAAAAGCTGGTGAAAATAAATTGCTATGTTGGCCTCCAAAATACACAGGCGCAAAATGAAAACTAGTTCAAAACCGAAATCTTGTTAACATTAATGATGATTTTTGGAGAGTAGCAGTTGTGAGAATTGTTTGAATTTTGAGGTGTTCAATGCTCATTGGAAAGTCTGCCCCACTCTTGTGAAGCACTTCTATAAAGGAACCGCGACGGACTGTACTTTAAACTAACATTTAGATGCACACATTACCTGACTGAAGCTTGATAGTTAGCTTTTTAAATTAAAGCTTCAGAAAAAAGATCAATATAACTTATTTTAAATTAAGTATATATTTTTTTAATTTCACACAGAATGACAGAATACAAGTTGCAACGTTTTTCAGAGGTTTTCAATTTCACTTCAGAAAAGCTGATAACTCGGAAAGGGATAAAGTGAGTCTTTTTTTTTGTTTTTGTTCACTTGCACCTTAAATATTTATTTACATTTCGTATCTGCCATTGCCAGGAAGCTATCAGTTTTAACTTGGTGTGGGGTGTAAATTCATGAAATGGTTGAAGACACTTGTCCAAGTTGGTCTGCAGCATTTGTATCGTAAGTACATATTTAGGCTTCAGTCTTGCACATCAACCTAGGAATGAGTCCTCTTGTGCACTGTTATGTTCAAAAATATCATGCATATTAATATAGAGGACGGTAATGGAACTTAAAACAATATCAGTTTTGTTTTGTGCTAAGGGATCAAAGAATCATCCATAAGGAGAAGGTTGCAGTTTCAGTTTTCAATTGGTTGGAGGTCCACACTGGCGAATAAGCATGTGCACACATAGCTCACTCCCCTTTGCATTTTCTCCCTTTCCCACACATTCATGTCTTCCATCTTTCACCAGCTTGGTTGGCACCTATCCCAAATAAAGAAGCAATTACTAAAAAGGGGAAGGAATGCGACGTTCCACCTTTTCCACAGTGAATGCATTTTCCTAGGTGTGATTCCCATCTTACGTGCAGCGTGTCCTTCCTTGTATCTTTAGAAATCCTGCACCTGCCTGATGTGACCCATGGAGATAAGATTGGGGCCACATGGTTGCAAGGAATGAGATGGAAAGGTGAAGAACCCCTGATTTGGCCCAGGGTTGCCAACTCCTGTTGTAAGCATATAAAATGATGTAGAATACTACGCCTTTTGGATCATTGTAGAATACTACGCCTTTTGGCTGAATTTAGGGCAATGGTTTGAGAAAACACTGCACTGCAGGATGTCTGCCTTGTTGAGTTTCCCTGATTTTGAGCATGGAGCTGCTTCTTACTGCAGACATACTGCACATCAATGTCATTATTTCTTCTCTTGTACTTGTAGCTTTGTTATGGTGAACAGTGTTGCTCTTGAGGGTGATGGCTGCATCATCTGTAGAACAGCAGAAGCAAAGCTTGCAGAACTCTCCCATCAACTCAACTGTTCACTGCAGGTAAGGATAGAATTACGTCACTGGGAAGCTTCATCCGTGTATATTGAGGTGCTCAAAATAATCTTTCTAAACTGGCTTCTGTTTGTGATTTCTTGGCATACATATTTTTTGCATACATTATTTTTATGTGTGACTTTTATTACCGAGAAGTTCAGTTGCTCTAATGTGTGCATGGAGTTCTTGCACTCTCCGCCTTATCACTTTATATAAGGATGTGCTGTTTTTCTTAATGCTTGGAAACCTGCTTCCTCCTAATAATAATAATAATAATAATAATAATAATAATAAATTATTTCTACCCCACCCATCTGGCTGGGTTTCCCCAGCCACTCTGGGCAGCTTTCAACAGAACATTAAAAACAGAATAAAATTTCAAACATTAAAAACTTCCCTGAACAGGGCTGCCTTCAGATGTCTTCTAAAAGTCAGATAGTTATTTATTTCATTGACATCTGATGGGAGGGCGTTCCACAGGGTGGGCACCACTACTGAGAAGGCCCTCTGCCTTGTTCCCTTTAATCTCACTTCTTGCAGTGAGGGAACCACCAGAAGGCCCTCGGCGCTGGACCTCAGTGTCCGGGCTGAGCGATGGGGGTGGAGACGCTCCTTCAGGTATACTGAGCCGAGGCCGTTTAGGGCTTTAAAGGTCAGCACCAACACTTTGAATTGTGCTCAGAAACGTACTGGGAGCCAACGTAGGTCTTTCAGGACTGGTGTTATATGGTTTCGGCGGCCACTCCCAGTCACCCGTCTAGCTGCCGCATTCAGGATTAATTGCAGTTTCCGAGTTACCTTCAAAAGTAGCCCCACGCAGAACGCATTGCAGTAGTCCAAGCGGGAGATAACTAGAGCACGCACCACTCTGGCGAGACAGTCTGCAGGCAGGTAGGGTCTCAGCCTGCGTACCAGATGGAGCTGGTAGACAGCTGCCCTGGACACAGAATTGACCTGTACCTCCATGGACAGCTGTGAGTCCAAAATGACTCCCAGGCTAAGTACCTGCTCCTTCAGGGGCACAGTTGCCCCATTTAGAACCAAGGAGTCCCCCACCCATAGTACTTCTGTCTTGTCAGGATTCAACCTCAATCTGTTCGCCGTCATCCATCCTCCAACCGCCTCCAGACACTCACACAGGACCTTCACCGCCTTCACTGGTTCTGATTTAAAAGATAGGTAGAGCTGGGTATCATCTGCATACTGATGAACACCCAGCCCAAACCCCCTGACAATCTCTCCCATTGGCTTCATACGGATATTAAAAAGCATGGGGGAGAGGACGGATCCGTGAGGCACCCCACAAGTGAGAGCCCAGGGGTCTGAACACTCATCCCCCAACACCACTTTCTGGACACAGCCCAGGAGAAAGGAGTGGAACCACTGTATAACAGTGCCCCCAGCTTCTCTAGACAGTCCAGAAGGATATCATGATCGATGGTATCAAAGGCCACTGAGTGATCCAGTAGAACTGGGAAACAGCTCTCACCTTTGTCCCTAGCCCGCCAGAGATCATCAACCAGCACGACCAAGGCAGTTTCAGCCCCATGATGAGGCCAGAATCCAGATTGGAAGGGATCCAAATGGTCTGCATCCTCCAGGAGTGCCTGAAGTTGTTCAGCAGCCACCCTCCATTAAAATGAATATAAAAACATTTATGGGTGAAGTATCTGCATGGCATTAGAAGAGCCAGCATCCCGTCACTGAATTAGGGCATGTGAAAATAGTGATTGTTGCAAAGGTAATTGTATCTGGCTTGGGCACTGAACAGTTACGCTGCTTCAGCTTTCATTACCTCCACTCTCTTCCACCTCTGGGTGGTAGTATTTGTTATTAAATTCCATCATACCCTTTCTCAGAGGAACGTAGTGCTAAGCCAGTACTTGAAATCATTATGGACTGGATGAAGGCCAGTAAACTGAAGCTCATCTCAGATAAGATGGAGATGCTGTTGGAGGATCCTTGACCATAAGAGTGCCATCCTGTTCTGCATGGGGTAACACCCGGAAGGACCAGGTTTGTAGTTGGAGACTACTCGTCACTAGAGGTTCAAGTGGCTTCTGTGGTATTCCCTGCTTCCACAAGCTTAGGTTGGTGCACCAACATTGATCTTCCATGCTTACAGATAACTGACCAGTTTTCCATTCCCTGATAATTACTAGATTAGATTACAGTGGTACCTTGGGTTACATACGCTTCAGGTTACAGACTTTGCTAACCCAGGAATAGTACCTTGGGTTAAGAACTTTGCTTCAGGATGAGAACAGAAATCATTCTCCAGCGGCGTGGCAGCGGTGGGAGGCCCCATTAGCTAAAGTGGTGCTTCAGGTTAAGAACAGTTTCAGGTTAAGAACGGAGATCCGGAACGAATTAAGTACGTAACCCGAGGTACCACTGTACTGCAATTTGCTATGTGCAGGATTTATTTTGAAAATTGAAGTTAGTACAAAAATTAGGCTGGCAGATTACTAACTGGGATCATATTCCACTGTTCTAAGTGTGACCCGGGTTGGCGTTTTGGGGCACAATTCTAAGTGGTGGTGATTATATGAAGTGTGGTGACTGGAGAAAGGGCCTTCTCAGTTGTAGCACCATTTGTGCAATGCCATCTTCAGTGAGGCTCACTGGCTGGCAAATCTGATGTATTTTCAGCAGACCAATTTGCTTGGTCTTTTTAACAGTAAACTAGCTGCAGACTTTATATTTCTTGTTGAACCTTAGGCTGTTTTAACTGCTGCTTTCTGCTATTTGCCACCCATTTGTAGTTGTGTGTGTGTTGTTATTCTGTCGTTGTCCACTTCCAGGGTGGAAGTTAGGGTTTTGTTCAAGTAGCCATTTTTCTATCTCGTGATACATCCGCTGTCTCCACACTGTGTCAGCAGTACTTTGTACATGGTAGGCACATCTTGTGTTAGAGCTTCTAGACGGGGAGTTGTCTTTCCATAGACTGGACCTACTAATTTCTCAGGATTTTTCCTGAAAACAGCCTCCTTCTATTTGCTCCTCTATCGTGTAATACAGGAGTGTGTACAAACACTTGCTTGGTTTTTGTTGACAGGAACAAAGTCAGTCCAGAAAAAGGTGCAGCGATGTAGACAAGCTCCCACCTTCAGCTCCAATTCTATTACAGGTGTGTTTGTGTTGGGAAATGGGTCATCTTTGCACTTTTATTTAGCATAAATGCATTATGGTCTTGTTAATGTGCTGTTTGCTTCTTGGTTTTAATCCCTTTCAGCATTATCCGCTTTATCGAAGAAGTGACGCAAAATGTACAGGAGAAGATTCTGCTCCTTTGGATAAAAAGAATTACATCTTTAAAGAGAAGTATGACGTGGTTTCAAAAGAAGCTTCTCAAAAGGTATGTTGAATGTGTTCTATCTTTGTCAAGATGTGTACCAGCTGCCCTGAAAGGCTGGCCTATTTCGTTGGCAAATTGTAATTTTATTATTATTGCTTAACGTCATGTGTATCAGTGAACAGGGCACTTGGATAGTCAAAGAATCTTAAGAATGGCATGTTTCTTATTTATTCTCTCCCACCCCCCCACCCCCGTCATGCACTGCTTGATCCATTCTTAGTTTCATTGATTTCTGAGCTATTCTTGTAACAATAGTGTTTGTAACAGCGGCTTTTTACTACCATCAAAATAAAACTGTTTTTCCTTGTCTAATGGCATTCCTATTTCTGGTCATAAACGAGCATGCTCAAATAAGGCTACTAGAAATATAATGCAGCTTCTGCACAGAAGCGTGCAGCCTGTTATGTTCAGAGTCAGTCAGGAAGGTTGCATGAGTCTGCTCTTGAGTCAGGCTGTGCATTTGGTGCATTCATGAAGATGTTTTGCTCCTTAACCGGTTTGTGCTCTGGAGCTGAGGTGCAGAGAAAGGCTGGGCAGGTAGTCTGTAGTGGTTGCCAGGCTGCTGCAACTGCATGCTGGTTACTAGGCCTTGCCTAGTGAACCAAGAACCCAGGGTAAGAGCAGACCTCCTTCCTCCACCTCCCCTACTCCAAGCTGTGCTTCTATATGTGTGATCATCCCCTGCATTATTTGAGAGCATCTTACTGCATGTGTGGGTGAAAACTTGTACTAGCATTGACTTAAAGAAATGAAGGGGAAACTTGAAAGCAAAGTAAAAATATATCAAGCTGTGTGGCACTTTTCTTTTTCTTAAGTCAGACATTTTTAAATGCCAACATTGTTTTACTCTCATAGCTGTTATGGTGGTTTCATCCTCGGCTCATTTTGAGTGGTCACACCCACAGTGCCTGTGAAGTGTTGCATAATGGGAAAACCCCAGAAATCAGTATTCCATCATTCAGTTGGAGGAACAGAAACAATCCTAGTTTCATAGTGGTAAGTTTAAATAGTTTTTATTTTGTCAGATAATTTTTCATAATATAAATCAACATAGCAATCAGCTATTTTCTCAGACTGATGCTACCTGTAAAAAAGCAAAACAAAACAGCTCCTCCCATCCTCTCCAAAAGTACACTTAAGTTGAATACAAAGCACCCACTTTATAAAGCACATACTTGCGTAGCCATCCTGCTTGTATAGTGCAAAGTATTTTTTTTTGTAGGTTTTACAAACATGTCTACATACAAGCTATATTTAGTATGTTTCTATAAAGAGGATGCAGTGTAAACAATTTGACTGCAACAATCATCAGTAGTCTGCAACAAACAGTATTAAGACTTGTTTTTGCTTAGCTGATTTATCCACAGGACCAAATCTTTTCTGCATGGTTCTTCTGTCTTTCAAAAGTGCAAACTTACTATCTCATAGGGCAGCAAAATTCTATCAGATGAACCTAATTCACAGTTTGCTTACTTTGGGTATCCTAGATTACAACTCTAAATAGATTAACCTGAAGCACAAAAAGTTTCCCAGTTCTAAAACACATTTAAATATTTATTCTTTTCAAAAACCAGTTCTGTGCTAAGTTTACTTTTTCAGCCTCTTGTGCATGGGGGAAAGCAAATTGGTTATAATTTTTAGTTCATAGATGAAAGTTATTCCTCACTCAGTAAGTAACACAGTTGTACTTGAAAAGCATGTTGTCTCCCTAATTTTGTTTAGAGTGTTTACTTACCAGATAATCCAGTTTACTTCAGAATATCATGTTTTCAGCAGTTTGAGGAGTAGATGGTGTCTGACTGTTGGCCTAGATTACTTGCAGACCAGTTATCCCTCCCCCAACACTCCAAGTATTATTAATCTGGCTTTATCTCGTATGCTTTGTCACCCCACATACTTAGTGGCCACCATCCAACACAATTAAGCACCTTTAGCCTGCAATCCTACATAGTTATGTGGAAGTCATTCCCCAGGTCAGGGCCAGTAGGTGCTATGCGGTCTGAGTAGCTGCCTAGCCAAATAGCAGCTGCTGTGTTCTTTACTGGAAAAAAAAAATTTCAAATGGCACAAAATAGTCTCAAGGCAGCTCAGTGCTTAACAAATGGAATATCTAACATAGGTTTTAAAGCTGTCTGCATCTCTTATCCACAGGACAGTTGAGAGCACTGATGCTATGAGAGAAACTGAACTCTACCGTTAGTATAATTGTAAAGCATACAGGCTCCCAACCACTTGCCCCATGTCTTATAAAATGCTGTTTTCCTTTCTTTCTCAGGGCAGTATAACACCAACCGACTTCTCTCTCTATAAGTGCTTTCTTCCATTCGAGAACACAGTTCTTACTGTCTACTGTGCAGCAGGAGCTGTGCTTTTGGTCCTCGTACTAGCTCACTTTCACCCTCTCGTTACCCCTTTTCATTTTGTTCAGCGTTTAATCACTAAATATAAAGCAGTATGAAGAGTCAGACACTTGTAATCGGTCACTGACACACCAAAGCTAAAGAACAGTCCATCAGACTACATTCATGCCAGCAAATGCGTACTTGAATTGCTAGCCCAAAGGCAGGTTGCCTTTACATACAGAAAGTCCTATACAGTTGATATGACTTATACTACAGGGTAAGTTAACTGAATGCTTCATGCTGTACAAAAATATTGTATTCTACAATCAAATGAATCATTTTCTTGCTAAAGTTTTTGTATCAAATATGTATATTAAAAGTTTGTAACTGTACACTATAAGTCCTACAAGCCTCCTCTTGTGTCTGCACTAGTGTCCTATGCTGCTTAGAGGCTCAGTCTTTCTAATTGGAAATAATTTTAAAGTGTTATTGCTGCGAGACCATCTGGTGTGGTACTTCTTTTCCTTGATGTAGAGTTATTTTACAATAAGATATTACAAAAAAGGGCTATTGGGAGAAGTAGCTTACTGGCCTCAGAGAAGTCTCCTTGTTCTAGGTTAGATGTAGTTTTCGATGGCAGTCATGTGCCAATCATCAAAATCCTTGCCTAACAGGCTTGCAGAGGATTGGCTAACCAGGCAGAAAATTGAGGACAAACCTCTTAGATCTGTAGACGTATTATGTATCCCACTGGCACGTGCTATGATGTCTGGCTGAAATTAATCTCTGGAATAGAAGGCAAGCAGCTCCTTTCTCTTCCCACCCCCATGTTTTTATATATAGGCCTAGTGCGTCATTGCAATAAACCATAGCAAATGATTTACAGTAAATGCAGAAATTTCTCCTCTAGCATGAATGGGAGCAACAAACCACAATCCCCTGTGTAAACTTGAGGATTGTTGTTTATTTTACTCCCAAACCACAGAGAGAAGTCAAGGTTTATTTCTTGGCTTACCAACTGTGGTCTGTTCATAGTGAAACAAACCACAATCCTCAAGTTCACATGTTACACTAAGCCAGGACTGTGATTTGTTTCTCCTGCTCACTTTGTGGCAGGAGCCATCTTTATGTTACAGGTAAGCTATTAACTATGGTTTACCATGATGGGCAAATGCAGTAAGAGTGAAATGCCTGATGCTTGGTATTAGTGATGCACTTTATGGGAAATGGTGTTGTCAGAATCTTGCATTTTGATCCTAAACACTTGTGTCTTTCTAACGTTTTGGAAACATGCATGGTTAGCATTATTGAAAAATCATTAAAATATATCCAACTAGCAGTTTCAGAGTGGAACTAAAGTGTTGAAAAGGGTCTTAGAAAATACAGTACCTAGAAAGATTACTAATGTGACCCCTTTGCAGAGTTACAACCACAACATGTCTGCCCAGTTGTCAGGGAAAAACGGCTGGGCTTACATAAACAACAAACATGCTATCCTCCTTTAAGAATTGATTCACATTGGGTGGTTGAAAATATTTCAAAGAGTAATTTGCCTTTAAATTTAAAGCAAAGGATGAAGATAATCCAAGAGATACATAATCTATGAAGGTATGTAGGCTAACACTTCTAAATTTTGTTATTGCAATTACAAATTTTAAACGTTTGTACAGGTTACCTTGGACACAGGAAACTATGTACTCCGACATAACACCTATGTATAAAATATAAAAGCAGTGTTATAGTACTGAGAAGGACATGCCTTATTGCTACTGCAATTCTTGCTTTTATATTATACTGTACCACAACTTATTTTGTGAATGTCATTTGCATAAATTATTCAAGTTTGAGAAATATCCACACATTGTGATTCTACAATATTTAAAATAAAACCATTTTCTAAGGTCTCTTTATTAAGAGAAATAAAATTGTCATCTTGTAATTCTCTTAGGCCAGACACAAGGGTTAAACCTTTTCTTCTTTCTTCCAATTTGCACAATGAAAGCGGCTGTTGCAACAGAGATTGAAGAGCCTTTATCTAATGGTGCTTCTACACATTCACAATCTGCAATTGTGAAATTGGCTATGAATGACCAAAGAATTACTGAACATAGGTTTTTTTTAAAGGTAAAACAAAATCCTTGGTTTCCATGAAAACACCAGGTTGCAATTTGGACACTTGAATCAATTTCAGTGTTTTAAAGCTAAGACTGAGAAAGGCATATTTGCTGCAACATCTGGTGGCAGTAATAACTTACTTTCAAAGGTATATGACTAAAATTTGCATAATTTATATTTTTTTATACTAAAGAGCATTTCTTTTTATATAAACCAGAAAAACCCTAAACTCTACAGAGAAGTTTTTTACCTTCAGTCACTGCTGCAGGTAAAGTTGACATCAAGCTGTACAGCGCAATCAAAAACATACTTACATCTTAGCTCGTTTTACAGGTACAGCCATAATCAAGGCACAAAGATCTTCTACAAGTATTTATCTTCAATAAAATTGTACAAAATAATATTACACTTTACAGTCTGTACAATATAATAATAAACCAGCAGTAAAACAAAAATAATATATATATTATATATATATTATATATATAGGGAGAAGACTGTTGTCCAAAAATGATCTAAAGTAGTTGGATCATTTGTGGACAGAAGAAACAAAAGTGAGGGTGAATTTTCTGCCTAGATGCAAGTAGTCTGAAAAAGTAGCTCTGAATTCAAATGCCTGAGGTGTGTAGAGACTCTTGACTCCAAACCTCCAGAAAAATTGCTCATCTTCCCTGTGCCTCACTATCTAGTCTATTTCCTGCGCCAATAATGGCTTAGAAGAGGAGGTCACCTTTGTCAGCTGACCTGCAACTCAGTTATGTTAAAAACTGTGACTAATATTGTGGTGCTGCTACATCACGCGTGTATATATCCTCAACAGTATTTCACAACCCTAAAACAAAGTGCATTATTCTCCCCCACCCAATCTATCAAGTACTCCTCAGCGTCACGGTAGAAAGGAAACCCATGCACACTGCAAGTATGACATGGTGTCGCCCACCTAGCAGATACCAGCTTGAACAAACCTGCTGGGGGGAAAAAACAACTAGCAGGCTATGTCCAATTAAAAACAAAACAAAAATGCAACCAAACCTAAGGAAACAGAGGTAGCCAAAGGCCTTAGTGGAATGACACAGAAGTGGCATATAAAAATAAAGCACACACATCGTCCCATAAAGCATGAACTGGGTTGAAAGGCTAATCAAAGTAAACAAACTGAGGAGGCAGACGTGTATCTAGATAGTATCTCCCTCTTACTTCACATGAAGAAGTCGGAAAAAAAAGATGATGTTTAAAACCACAGGCTCCATGGTGTTCTCAATTACAATAGTTCATACTGCCGAAGGTGCATTCTCTGAATGATGTCTCTACAGTCGTTGAACACTCTGCGGATGTTTTCTGTGTCAACTGCACATGTAAAGTGGGGGTAGCAGTAATGCTTTCCATCTCCAGTCGCCGTGCTTATTCTCTGCAGGGGGAAGAAAACCAATACAGAGTCAAGACTTGAAAGGCACAAACTGTACCTGCCATTGGACAGCTATCAACACAACAAAGTGCTGCTTTGAGAAGTGAAAGGCAGACCTGGAAATGGCAAAGTGTGTGTGCGTGTCCAATCTAAAACCAGAGGGTTATATGCATTAATCTTAGTTATCTGGTTCACACAAATGGGCTGGAGGTGAAAGGCAAGCCATTCTAAAAGGAATACCAGATAGAAGACAAAATAATTCTACGTAGCTAGACAAGTGACCAGGCATTTTTTCCTGATTTATAAAACGGGGACATTGTTGATTAATACTTAAATAACAGCTGGATTTCAAGATGTTACACATTTTCTATAACGTTCAAAGATTATACTAAAACTCCTTTCTGGTCAAATGAGTTTATCGATAGTAAATTAACACAGCCAGTCAATGTTTTTTAAAGTGTCACTTACTAAAAATTCATCCCGGATAAAAAACTTTGCTCTTGTAACTTTGGGGTCTTCTCCTGCATCTGGCGTTGCTGTTAGGAACATTAAATAAGTAAGTAGTAATGACATATAGATATAAAAAAGGAAAGCATGGTTAAGGCAGATAAGCATGGGCAATTTACTGCCTTTTATGTATCAGTACAATTTTATGGCTAATACTATCAAATGTAAGAACATTTATTAACTTAAATAAAACTAACCTCATTTCACACACTTAATCCCCAGAACTCCCTGAACAAGCGACATTCCTTGCAATAGTAACATTTAGGTACATCATTATCTACAACTTATACTTTCATCATTATAATATACATCAGCTAAAATATTCCCACGTGGGCAAATGCTCTCTTGATTACTGACCAGTGGTGACTGGTGCTCATTGGGCCAGTAGGGCATAATGCAGGGAGGCCAACAGTAGGTGGAACCAGAGCCAAGGGCAGGTAGAGACCTTTGTATTGGTTTGAGTTCTATAAGGGCAAAACTGAGTCTGGAGGAGGAGGAGGAAGCAGGCAGCCTTTAGGGTAGTTGTGAACAGGGTAGGAGGGCTAGGCATCAAGGTAGGTTTGGTGGGGAAGTGCCCTAACACGACGCAATACGGAGAGGCGTTGGAAGAAAGGAATTGCTCAACAAAGCAACAGTTGTCTGAGATAGGAAGAATAATACACAGAACACATTAACATTTAAACAACATAAGAGGATTTGCTCCCAGGCTATCTACATTTTGGTTATGGCAATGAAACCTTCATACATGATTCTCATCTGGTGTAGTCACATGGAATGCTCAGTAGATCAAGGAGCTAAGCAGTTTTCAGTCTAGCTGCTCTTAAGTATTTGTTACTTTGTCTGGTGGACTTTGGGAAAAGAATTTGGAAATTAAGAAACCCAAAGGGCAGGAAGTCCAGAAGCAAGAAGGCTAATGAAAGAGTGAAAAGCAGGCAAGGGACTGAGAAAGATAAATATGAACAAAAATTACCATATTTTTCGTCCCATAGGGCGCACCGGCCCATAGGACGCACCTAGTTTTTTTGGGGGGGGGGAATAAAGGGGGAAAAAAATATTTTCCCCCCAGGCGCGGGGCTGGGGCGGGGGATGCCCGAGCTTCCCCCGACCCCAGCCCCCAGAACAGGCTGCTATCCGCAAGCCTAGGGAGCCCGGCGGGAAGTCGCGCCGGTCTCCCCAGGCTTGCGGATATCTGTCCCCCGAGCTTGTGGGGCTGGCAGCCTCCAAACCAGGTCGGGGAACAGCGGGATGGCGGCGCTGCGCCTTCCCACTCTCCCCTGAGCTTGTGGGGCTGCCCGATATCTGCACGAAGCCTGGGGCACGCTGTGCAGCACGCCCCAGGCTTTGGAATGCAGGCTGCTATCCGCAAGCCTTGGGAGCCCGACGGGAACTCATGCGGAGCTCCCAAGGCTTGCGGATAGCTTCCTGAAGCCTGGAGAGCGAGAGGGGTTGGTGCACACCGACCCCTCTCGCTCTCCAGGCTTCAGCAAAAGTCTGCATTCGCCCCATAGGACGCACACACATTTCCCCTTCATTTTTGGAGGGGAAAAAGTGCGTCCTATAGGGCAAAAAATACGGTAGGTAGAAAATGAGATAAAAAACTTACTGAGGGAAAGGGAGACTATAGAAGGGCTCTGAAGGAACAGTGATTAAGATAATGTGGGAGAGTAGAGGATTGTTAGCAAGGCACCACAAGGGCAGGGATCTACAAATCTGACCTTGGTAGTCAGCCAAAATTTGTGCCTGCCAGTGGCCCCACCCCACCCCTGAGGGAGGTGCTGGGTCTTGTTTCTGATATCGTACTGACCTTCATTGACCTGCAGAGGCATTCTGAAATGTGGGGACATGGGAAGCTACTATTTGTCCATGTCAGTATTGTCTTCGTTGGCAGGCAGCAGTTATCCAAAGCTTCAGACAGGGGAGTTTTTCTAGTCCTACCTTGAGATATTAGTGATTGAATCTGGAACCTTTGGCACTACAGAACTATGTCCCTCTGAAACTGCATGCAAAATTAGGAAAGAACTACCTTTCTGAGCTCTCCAAGTTTGGGAAGAGGAAGGGGTTTGCCAAAAAGGTTGTCTGAGGCAGCAGCTGTTAATTGCTTCTGTCATGACCATGTCAGAGCTGCAGAGGGGACTGGCGTATCTTGTCACATCTTCTGCTCAGACCTGCTGCGGCAGAAGTAGTGGGTGCTACTGAGATCCCACCAATCCTGAGGATGGTTTGCAGCTCAGCCCAATTGCTGGACGTTTTCACCACTCTTTCCTCTTTCCCTGCTGGTTTTCCTCTCTTAGGTGACTGCCAAGCAAGGCCACACTTCCATCTGAACTAACCAGCCTATTGGTTGTCTAAAGGTTTATTAGTGTTACTTGGAACAAAATATATCTTAACTTCTGCGTTGATATATTTACTTTGATATATATGTTATTTAAGGAATTTATGCATGACCTTAAAGGAAACCAAAGATTACCCTAGCTACTTAATCACAATGCAGATAAGAAACTCACCATCTTCAGGTACAGTGTAACGTGTGAATTCAGGAAAATAATCTTCAATTTTAGACTTCCCTGCCAAGACTTTTTCAGCCAGCATATCTTGTTTATTCAAAAACAAAATGATAGAAATTGTCCGTAACCACCTGCAAAGACCCACATGTTAGAATAATCTCATACAAAACATCATTCAGTGTCCTAATTTCCAACAGCAGCCAGCCAGTTGCTTCTGGCGACACAGAAGCAAAGCAAGGAAGCTTGGAAGCAGGGGGGCCGACTTGACCCCTATTGAGGGGGCCTGGCATCACGTGATGCGTCCTGCCCCCGCCTGCTGCACCAGTGCTCACCCAGTGGTGGTAGGGGATGGGGAGCACAGAAAGTGATCTTCACTCTCTGCATATCCCATCCCAGCCTGGTGTACCAGTGCTTGCCTGGTGGCAGCAGAGGATGGAGAGCTAGAAATGCTACATACTATTCCCCCTTCCCAATATAGTTGCTCTGTTGTATGGGAATTTTACCTGTTGTTCCAGATACTTTTGAAGAGGTCCAGGGACTCCCGTAATCTGTTTGTGTTGTTGTCTTCCCTTATGACCATGTTGTAGCTGCTACAGGCCACGACAAAGATAATAGCTGTGACATCTAGAGGAGAACAGAACACCCAGAGAATAAGATTTTTACTGTGTTGCCACAGTAAATAAACATGTTTTATGATGGTATTTATATAAATGCAATCTAGGATATACAGACAAAATGGTAAAGATTTCTGAAGGTTTAGAAACTCAGATCAACCTAAATTATGTACACTTACAACATAAAATAAGGGAGCTGGAAACATTCTTAGAACACATAATGTGAATATATTGCTTACCGTTAAAACACTGGATCCATTTTCTTCTTTCATCTCTCTGACCACCTACATCAAACATGCTGTTGAAAA